TTTTATATACTCGCTTTTTTCTCTTTCTCGATTTCATTTTCTATTTCCCTACCTGTTGAAAAAGGGAAAGTGCGCGTTATATAACGAGTGACCACTCCCATGTCTATGCATATATCTATCCATAATTATACACCCATATATAGATTACTTTGGTGATTGGTATGAGCTTATGTGATCAACTAATGTTATACTCTCTCCGAGGGCATCTTGATAGTTATCCGCGAACATTCTGATTTGGTGTGAAATCTCCAGGTAATTCCTCGACAACTGTTGTAATATTTAAGTGCGCTCGCTTACTACTCTAATTATCATTCTCATGAACAAGAGGGATTTCTATAAAAAGCAAAACGCAAATCTGTGAATAAGGAAGGATGTGCATGTCTATACCAAAAATGGGATATGTGATTTTTTGAGTATCTGAAACGGTAAATTAATGGTACAGAAATGTTCTAATTACTTAGATTTAAGAGAAAACGAAAAAGATTCTAGCAAAAAGATTTTTTGATCATAGGAAAATAATACGATGTACGCATAATAAGCTCATATAAGAAATAAATCGTTATATAATTATGTCTGTTCATAGAAAATATAGACTCGCATGCATATAAACACATCTAAAAAAAACTAAGCAAAATATTTTATTGTCTATAAGACTATTTTGATGCAAAAAAAGAGCATTAGAGAGAACTATATTATTTCTATAGAATAATCTTCTAGTATATAGAAAAAAACTTATTCTGGGAATTTCTAGAAATAGAAAGAATGACCTATTCAAAGAATTTTACTCGATATTTTCGTAATTATTTCATATACTAGCTATACTCGAGAGAGATCTCTAGAAAGATCTCATCTGATTCTTATACGTTTTCTCTTCTATACTGTTAAATAGAAAATAACTTATGGAGAAAGAACAAGGATATTCAAGGAATACCTATATGAATTCTCACACGAATTTTTAAATCCTCGAAAATGCGGTTTTCTAATCAGAAAATCGAAAGAGAATTCATATAGGCATTCCTAGAAATTCGCTTACGATATAGTGATTGGAATATTTTTTAGAAATTTGAAAATCAAGTTATATTGTCATTTTAAAATAGCAGCTTCTACGATTTATTCTATATATATATATATATATATTACTTAAATACATAATAAGCAAAAATGAAGTTCATAATTACATAAAAATGAAACAACTTTTCAAAAGTTAACAATAAAAAAATAAACATTTCTAGATACCAGCATAAGCATAAATTATAGATTTGAAGACCTGTGACATAGAAAATAGGAAAAGTGCGAACTGATAATTAGGTTCAATATTTTAATTATATTCATTGAAAAATCTCTTAGCACCCATGCTGACAAGAAAATATTATACGAAATCTATCGAGCGCTAAACTATGGGAAAAGATGATGGTGATAGGCTAAAAATAAAAGCAAATAAATAACTAATATTGAAACAGTTACTCGCCGTCTGACGAAATCTCGCTTACTTTTTGTGTACTCAAAAAGTGAGTACACTCTAGAATCGGTCAGTGTGTCCGGCCGGCCATATGCGCGATAACTTTTGAAAGCCTCATCCAATTACCATGACATTTTGTACACAGAATGATCTCATCAATATCTCGGTCGAGTTCGAAGATGAGAAGGATCCGCCAAAGAAATGGCTGAGTTATCGAAAAAATTGTCATTTTTTACCAGACCATCCCTGAGGGGGGGGGTACAGGGATTTTTCAAAAAACAAATTTTTCCCAGAATTATTCACAATATATATAAATCCACTCATTTTTTAACGCTGATTCTGAATTTGATATTAGTTTTGAACCAAACTGTAGTTTTCTAACGAAACTTTACCTGCAAAAGGTCTCAAAACGCGCAAAAAAAATGCATCGACAAACTGAATTTTTTATATACGTATGTCTCAGATGACCAGTAGTGTTTTGGGGCTTTCCAAATGCCTGGTTTTGCAGGTAATCAAAAGGACTATCGAAAGGTAAAAACCCGAACTCGATAGCTATTAATATAAGGTGATTTATTAGGAAAATACTGATGCCTGTATCTATCATATATCTTTTATAGATTCATGAGGTTGCTTACGATCGTAATCCCACTAGATACAAATGCAAATCCATTCAAAAATAACTCTTCTTACCCAGTTTTCCAAGCTGAACACGAATCTGAACTCAATTTTTGTGTGATTTCGAAAGATATTATATAACTCTGAGTTGTAGAGTCAATGATCACCGGATATGGTCGCATACAGTATGGTCCATGCTAACTTAGTACGCCGGTGTTTTCTCCTTGCAATCTATTATTATTATTACTAAACTGTCTAAAATATTCATCCTTGAGCGCACTAAGGAACTGCCCCTTAGGCCCTGTGGATGCCCTCTTTTTGTCCCGTAGAACACGGCGAGGGGTTAGTTCCAGCAGTTTTATTCATTCGCATAAACTTCTTCGCTTTAGCTGAATTGTGTTTGTTTTCCTGCTCCTTTAATAAATCGATCGACTAGTTCCTGTAAACTAATACTCGATGCAATATAATGTCTATTTCTTGGATCGCTGTTAAACTGAATATATGAATAGATAGGATGAGATAGAGCCATAGAAAGCGTCTGAATTTGAACTTCTCCACCCCATATTGTATCCAAAGCAGTTCTTTTCAACTGTTCTTCAAATGAATAGTGCAATACTTTACAAAGTGTTTGGAAATAATCACTATTATTGATCATTGCATTAACTGCCAACAATCTCATCTTGAGGGTGCTAGTTTTTTAGATCCACTATTTATTTTTTTAATAATATGAGACTGATATATTCAATGAGTCGTGTATATTTGATTTTATTCTTATGCATTTTTCTTCTCATCAAATCTGAAATGAAACTGACTAGAGCAAGATATACAAACACATATGCCATTGTAGAAAAAAACAAGACCTTGCTATGACCAATTTCAAAGCTTGAGAGTGCGATTGATTCTGTTTTTGAGCAAATAAAAAACAAAGTGAATATCCCTTGTCACTTTTTGAAGTACACATAACACTCGGATTTAAATCCGAGATGATCGCATAGTCTGAGTTAAGATGTGGTTATTTTTTGCACACAGAAAAAAGAATTTTATATTGCAGCAATTTTGTTCTAAGAAGAATCATAAGTAATCGGTGTAAGACAATTAATGTAGCGTAGTGAACGAATTTTCTCTAACTCTAATAGATTAATAAAAATAAAATAAAATCGCTTTACAAATCTATTAGACTGAGGAAATAATGGATTAGTGTGAACAGTGGGGACTGATCATATAATTTAATTTTAAAAAATGTGAGAGATACACAAATAACGGTAAACATTTAAAATTTTCTTGATTCGTCATTGATTTTCTCCTTTTTTGAAAATGTATATTTTAAGAAAATCAAAGAAATTCAAATCATATAACGTTTAAAATCTTTCAGCTTTCTGAAAAAGTCGATTTTTCAAAAGATAGAATTTATAAAAAATTTACATTGTAGATCAGATTGCTGAAGACAATATAACTATAGTTAATTGTTCTTTCTCTTGAGGATAAAATCTTACTCGATACATTTGAAATTTTCAATTTCTATCTTATTGAATATCGTATTTTCAAGAATGTATATAGAAATTCGTTATTGAATTCGTATTTCCTAGAATATCTTTCATTAATACACTATAACGTATTTTCTAGTTTACAGTGTATATAATTGCAAACAACAAAAAAAGAGCATTAGATTTCTATATCTTTCAGTATATAGAAAAAACTTATTCTGAGGAATTTCTAGAAAAAAAGAAAGAATGATCTATTCAAAGAATTTTGCTCGATACTTTCGAAATTATTTCAGGTATACTCGAGAAAGAGATCTCATTTTATTCTTATACATTTTCTCTTCTAGTTAATATTCCTGCTAATGCTACATGGAAGCAGAGCGGAGTGACTATTGCTGGAGGTCGCGCAGTAGGGAATGTCACTAATCTACTCTTCTGGCCTCATGGTCTCTTCGTTGATGATGATCAAACAGTGGTTATTGCTGACTTGATGAATCATCGTATCATGCAATGGAAGAACGGTAATACAAGGAATGGACAAGTTGTTGCTGGTGGCAAAGGCGAAGGAAATGGATTACATCAATTGAATTATCCAACTGATGTATTAATTGACAAAGAGACGAATAGTCTCATTATTTGTGATCGAGACAATCGACGCGTTGTACGATGGTCTCGTCGTAGTGGTACAACACAAGGTGAAATACTCGTCGACAACATCCAATGTTATGGATTAGCAATGGATGAACAGAGATATCTCTACGTTTCTGACGTCGGAAAACATGAAGTAAGACGATATCAATTGGGTGAGAAGAATTACACTCTCGTAGCTGGTGGTAATGGAAAAGGTAATGGTCTCAATCAACTCAACTCGCCGACATATCTCTTTGTCGATCGAGATCATTTAGTGTACGTATCAGACGCCAATAACAATCGTGTAATGAAATGGAATAAAGGCGCAAAAAAAGGTATTGTGGTCGCTGGAGGACAAGGCCCAGGGAGTGCTCTGACACAATTGTCTCTTCCTAATAAAATTTTCGTTGATACGTTGGGTACACTCTATGTAGCAGACTCGTTGAATCATCGTGTAATGCGTTGGACTCAAGGAGACAAGAAACAAGGCACTGAAATTGTGGGTGGAAATGGTCAAGGAGCAGGAGCAAATCAGTTCACCGTCCCCATTGGTTTGTCTTTCGATCGACATGGGAATCTCTATGTCGTCGATATGGCTAATAATCGTGTTCAACGATTTTCTATCGAATAAGACTTGTGAATTGTTTTTTCTTTGTTCGTTTCTTTTTCTATACTCTGAAATAAATGAACAAAAAAAATAAATTTTCTTCTACTCTTTCGCTTCAATGAAAAGAAAAAAATATAAAATTACGTCATATGTTTCTTTTCTTCTTCTTTTATTTGTTAAATGAAAACAAATGAATTAAATAAAAATTATTATTCGCAAAAAATATTAATTATTAAAATGAAAAAAATTAATTGTGTCATTTTGAAAACATTTATGATTTAAATGAAAAAATAAAATTTTGTATTCTTTGAATGAAAATGAAATTTTGTATTATTTAAGTGAAAATAAATTTTGTATTATTCAAATGAAAATTTGTATGTTATTGAAAATATTCATTGATGAAATAAAATAATTTATAAGTAAAGTGAAAATATAATTTGTTTTATTTTCACAAAATATTTATTGTTGAAGTGAAATTATTTATAAAGTGAAAAGAAAAAATTTGAGTTATTTGAATAAAGTTTATTTAAAAATCAAAATAAAACAAAGTTACAAAAAAATCAAAATAACAAGAATGTAAAAATAATTATACTTACATTTGTTTGAATTGAATTGAATTGAATTGAATATTGAATGGAACTAAAACATAAAATAAGAATTAATTTTATTTGTTTGCAATAAAATAAGTGAGATGAATTTACGTTGCTGTTGAAGAAATGAACTAAAACGAAATAAGCAGAAATAAACTGATTGAAATGAAAATTTATCTTTTTTCGCTTACCAGCTAATAGTTGCTCGCGCGACCAAGAACTACCTTGGTGGTGGCATAGAGAGCCGAGGCTCTTCACGTACAGACATAGATCTAGCGTGTATAGAACATACAACAGGAAGATCTATATGCGGCCTGTACGTGCTATGGACACCAAGATAGGCTTGGCCAGTTTCACGCCGATGTATGGAAGGCCTCCGTAGGACGTAAAGAATATACATATTTACAAAAAGTTATACTTACTCTTTTGAATCACTAAAATAGATAATAGAAAGACAATTATTATCATTATATAAAATTAAAATAAATGGGATAAAAAGCTGAGACAACAAAAAAATAAAATCAAACTAATACTTACCTATAATATTGAACCATGATCAGTACGAATACAAGCTAAAATAGTTAAATAATAAAATATGCATGTAAGATAGTAAGAAGAGAAAGAAAGATGGGGAATGATTTCTAACGTTAAAAATCATCACTATTTATAGTCATTTTTGTTATTCGTAAGAAATAGACAATTGGCAAGCAATCAACATCAAATGAATTTCATTTCTGTTTGTAAAATTTAACATCCCGCTTACTACACAAGGTAACGCGACGTTTGCGTCGCCAACCCTCTACTGAAAGGATTTAGTCATGTGGAACGTGTAGCTATCCAAAACTATCTAGCTGAGAGAATTCACATTTTATAGCTTCGAAATGATTTTCATGGAAAACACGATTGATAACCGAGCATAAATAGAAAACTTGCTGGAAGTATCACCAAGAAAGCGGCATTTAATTACTACTTACTAATATTATATGGCGATACTGAAGCTAAGCGCATCCGATCTGGTACAGCTCAAGCTACGCCCCCAAAAAATTTCGATCAACTTAATAACGGAGTGAAGAAAAAGACCCATTCATGAGAGCTATGATCGAAATACTTCATTTTAGTAAAGTTACAACTCAAATTGGTCTATGAACTAGATATTTAACATGAATCTGCACGAGTAGATCAGAGATTACATCAAAGTGTCTTTTTCTAACTCGATTTCGGTCAGATTTGTCCTAATTTTTGCTCAACCTCATGTGGGTTCATTTTGTTTCGGTGCGTTTCCCATCTAGAATGGATATATTCATTCTTGAGTGCACGTTCACAGATAGATAAATCTAAGATTTACATCTTTTGAATCAAATCCACTCGCAATCAGGAAAACCTAAACTTATTAAGATAATCACAACAAATATAAATTTCAAATGTTTCACACGAGTTGAGCAATTATTTCACGACCTGTCGTCGGAAGAAAATCAAAATATGTCCTATTTTCGAAAGTTGTTTCAACTTTTCTGATCGAGACAACGTGTAACCGTTCTATAAGTCTGCAAGGCAAGTAGTTCTATAATAACAACAGATTTTCAACTAGTGGGAGCGGCTAGTCATTCTTCGGTGCCCCAGAGGGGCGCCACTCACGACTAGCCGCCCCCACTTGTTTTGTCTCATATATGCGGTGAATGTGATCCTTTTAAACACTGCATTATTGATTGAAAGGTTCACCTCACTCTATAATTATTAGATAAAAACGAAGAGAATTTTCAAAAAAAACGAAAACAACAGTTGTGGGACTAATTCAATTCAGTTACATCTACATAGGCGATAAATTCATCACAATTTAGAGAAGAATGAGACATGATTCCCAAGTCCTTATCAGTTTGCGTCCGTTCGTAGATGCGTTAATCTAGAACTCGGGAAGTTAAGTTTGAATAAATTCTTCGTGCTGCAATAAAAGTTGACATATCAAGAATAAACTGAAGATTTTGAAAAAAGCTTTCAAACTCTCAGTGCAGGTGAGCGGCTAGTCGTTCGTCGGGGCCCCGCCGGAGCGCCACTCACGGCTAGCCGCTCCCAAATTGAGAATCAATTCAACCGCACGATGCCTATAGCCTATTCGTAATAATATCTCACATAACCATGCGATACATCTAACACTATAAACATCATCGAATCGTAACCACAAAAATTTTCCTACAAAGCATTCCTATCAAGAAAATGCGACGATCTAAACAGCTCCTAATCCATTATAAACCTGTTCGAAGTACAAAATTTCAACAAACTGGCAACGCCATCATGTTCCCCGACCCCGATTACCTTCGGTCAACCCTTACAGAAAACTATTTTTTTGTAAAAAAAGTCTCTCTCTCCCTGAAAAAACGAAAAGCAAAATTTCAAAAATCTGACAACGCCATCGTGTTACCCGACCCTGATTGCCTTCGGTGAAACCTATGCCTACAGATATTGTTAGAGGTTAGTTTAGTTTATGCATCTGCTTTCCTATTGGACGAACGAACGGACACACACAGACACACACACACACACGAACGAACGCATTTAACTCTCTTTTCGTAAGACCCCCCTTTCAGTAGAGGGAATGAATAAATAAGTTTATTATTATTAAATTCGAATTTACCATTTCGAGCAGATCGGTAAGAGCCTAAAGCAAAAGACAACGAACTAACAATTTTGTTATTCTTGAATTCAAGGTTACCATTTCGATCATGTTGCAATGTGGTCGAAATCGAGAACAGTTCAAGAACGTATATATATATATGACATAAGACTGTTTTAATGGTATTAAAATGTTTTCAGTTTGGAAAAAAGAGATTCATGATCTAATCAGTTATACTTGATACTGTGAGCAGTTTTATTTAGTTCACCAGATGCATCCGAAACTGAACAAAGACGAAGAGGGAAAACTTCTTTTCAGAGGCTTGAGAATTGCGATCCCGTTCATTCTACAGAATATTCTAAGAGCATTCAAAACTCTAGTAGCCTTTCGTTGCATTAAATAGAAACTCCAGATCGGATTTCGGTTCGTTAGTGCACATTTTCGCGATTGAGTCAACTCCGAAACTCTTCGGCTTGCCTGCAGAAATATTTTGGACACTGAATGAGTAATCTGTTACATTTTTAATTAGTTCTTTAACTTGCGCAACTCTCATTGAAAAGCACCTAATACAAAAAACGCTGGGGTAAATCAAACATCTACCTGTCAAATCATTGTTTCAATATATCTTATATGAAAATGGTGAATTCTCTAATTTAAAATTCGTTGCTCTAAATAATGCATTGAATCGTAATGCATTATCGTAAAATGCTCCATTATTTGGAATAATGCACTGAGATGCATTCAAAAGTCGAAAAAGAATTAATTCATTTTTTTGGAAATAATGGGTCATTTTTCCATTATTTATCCATTATTGGCTACACGAGTACTTCCCAGTCAGCTGAATACTGACAGAATGCCCACTAAAATGCACTAAACTCAAACGAATAATGGGGAAATAGTCATTCAAATACATGTTTACTTATGAATGCATTATTTTGACCATTAAGAATGCATTGATTCTATTTTTCAGAGTATATACTATTTTTACTGATTTTTCCGCATGGCTTTAGCCATATAGTGATATTTGAGAAGAAAATATTTCTATCTCTTGCAAACAGAATATATGTGGATATGTAGATTCTGAAATAGGAAACAAAAGAGAATATTTAAAGTAAACCTATCGTTTAAAATATTTCTGTATTCAAGGGTTAAAACTAAGTATGCACAGCTTTAATGGTTATTGAGCTTTGAACTAGAATCCATTATAGGTGGCGCTAGCTTTGTAACTATCTCTTGAATAAGTTAGTATTAGAAATCTGCTCAATCATAATCAGCAAGTTAATTTTATTGTGTGTAAAATTTTTGTTTATTGATTTTCAGCGTCAGTACACAGGAGGCTGATTCCGACCACGGGATCCGGAGTATTTCCTGGGATTTCCGCCGCGTTTCAGGACGTTTCCTCCAGGAACCATCCGGCAAACACCCGGTAAATGAAAGCAGTATTCCAGACTGGAAAGCACCGTACCGGATCGTCCCTCTTCCTATTAAATCCAATCTATGGTATCACCTCGGAACAAAGCCATATCCCGACGGAATCCGAAGAGAAACTAATAGTATCCCGTTTCAAATCGACTCGAATTCAGCAATATCTACCGGGAAGTACAAGGGCTGGCCCAAATTTTATGCGTGTGGATATAGGGGTGAGTGCAGGTTCATTGAGGTTTGACACCCACACCTACACCCACACTTCCAAATATTAGGATGGTTGCGAAGAATGCGATGGCTTATTCTGCTATAATACGCTTGAATAACACAAGATCATAGTAGTCATTAAAACACAAAGTCTATGTGAATATTACTTTCACACCCACCCTCTCAAGATTCAGTTAAACATGATTATTTTAGCAATATCCAAAGGAACCGATTCGTTTAGCACTAGAGGTATGACAGCTCTGAAATCAAAGTTCAGATCAGATCAGATCGGAACCAAAACGGAACTGCTGCATCCCTATTTGTGATTCACGTTTATAAACTTGAGGGTGCGGGTGCAGCTTTCACTCTCTAGTGGATATCCAGCGATACCCACATCCACGCCCTTTTGGGTAGAATCATTGAGTTTTATGGTTCTGAAAGATCCTTCAAGTCTGTCCCAGGAAACTGGCAAGACTGGTTGGAATAAATACTAATCTGTAAAGATCTTTTCAAAATATTCATATTTTCTTATAAAGATTCTGATTAGAAATGTCACTATCTTGCAAGGCTTGCAGTGCATATTCTTGAACAGATCTCAACAAAATCCGGGGTTGAAACTTTGCAGGATTAATCAGTTTTTTTTACATTTATAGATCTTGCTATTTTCTTGCCAAGATGTTCGTCGGATATGACTATCATCTATAACAGGATCCAGACACGACAATTTGACCAAGATCCTAACGAATATCTGATAAAATTCTTCCAGATTCCTGTCTCGTGATGTTTTTAAGATCCATCACAGGATATTGAGTAAATCCTAATAGTATACTGAACTCTCGACTCAAAAAATATCTAAGCAAAAACTCAAAGAAATCTGTAACAGGATATTGCTTTGCCTTGAAAAATTCTGAAAATATGAATTACCCAGATTCGGAACAGGATCCTGAATAGAAATTTATGGGATCCTGAACGATCTTTTCAAGTATTTGAAAAAACAAACAGAATTGAGATCAATATAAAGACAGAAGTACGCTTTTTCTTCGTTGCGTCCACATTTTGCACACCAATACCAATCGATTTAATTGAAAACTGATGCTAAGAAGACAAAGTGAAAGTATAAAAGAATCTTAATCACATGGTATTGTCTGTCAAAATAAGTACTGATCTACCTCGTCTAGCAGTTGGATGGTCAACGAATACATGAAGATGGCCAATCGACTGTACAAACATAAAACAATAGTGTTATTGTCGCTGTTATTATTGATCATCAACTGGCGTCGCTCGTTTGTGACTTACATGAGCCGATGAGTTTCTCGATGATAACTTTGAAGCTGGAAATTGTGACCTTTGCAGATGTACTAGCTCTTAGCCAAGAACAACTAATATTAATTACAGATCTCTGAGTGTGCCCGACGATATGGCAATAATTCAATGATTCATTTCGATTTGAGGAGAGACTCACGACTCATTCGGAGGTGAGTATTTTAATAGAGGATGATCTTTAATTAAAGCAAAGACTTTTATCTATGGTATCAAGAAAAATATATTTCGAGAATTTATCAAATGAACTCATACTATGGTGGAATGACGTCTTGGTCTTACCGTTCTCAAATCAGGAAATCGTTGTCGATGTTATCAATTTGAAATGTTTGCCAATGCGATAAAAGAATTATTTACTGCAAGTTATTTAGGAACACAAGAAATACAACATTGGAATATACCAAATGATTCGTTTCCCCAGGACAATGACTCCTGAAGCAGTATTCCGTGAATTTCCGGCGAAAACCTGCAAGAAACTCGCTGTTTCCGACCGGAACCCAGCGGGAATTGTCCGGAATTCGATGCAGGAATCCGGAAACCATATCCGGCTACCAGTTTTGACAGGTTCCTGTCGATTTCGGCCGGAATCGGATCCTTTCACCGGAATACCACAGAACCGGCCGTTTCCGGGACCGGAATGTTCGACCTGGGTCGTACATTAATAACAGATAACAAGCATACAGAACCAATCTTTCCTCAACTTGTTTCACTCACAGTTTTTCAACCTACTTATATTAGTGATGATTGTCTCAGCATACTATTATCAGACTCATCTTTCAAGAACTTTCTTCCATTGGCTATTTTTATATTCTGTGAATCTCAATCGTTATCGATTAACGTGTCCAGAAGGTAGGAATGGTTTTGAGTTTACATATGATTATACAATTACTGATCGTTACGTTCCTTATCATTCGATTTTGTATATATGGATTTTGATGTTCTCAATTTAACAACAATGCATTTACTTCTTCACTATCTGCAACAACTTCAACACTTGGGTAATTATTAGAGATTTTAATAGAATTTTGAAACCCTTCAGATAATTTATTTGAAATAGATAGAAGAAAATAAAAAGAAGTTATGTCTATCGTAAATCTTCATTTCTCAGAAAAGATCTGAGTGTCGATATTCGCTGAAACCAAATTCATGAAGTCACCTACGCCCACACTCGAATTATGTGGAATGGTTCTATACTAGGGGTGGACCATTTAATTTAACGCGGGTTAGTGAACGTTAATTTTAAATTAACGTAAACGTACCACCCCTAGCGAAATCAGCTATCGCTTTTAAGGGAGTAATGTGTATTGTTTTCTAAAACAATAGAAAGAGTTGATGCGAATGGCTCGGTCGTAAGTATCAGAATGTAATCCGCGTAAATGTTTTAGTGGTAGATCGTGAAGATGTCAAATACAGAGTAATATTGATCTATCTAAAGTGTATGTAACATTATGAGGGATTTCGACGATATGTCAAATTAAATCTGTATGATCTAACTAGATATACATACTTTAAGGGGACTATTGTTAAAATATTATAGGTACCAATTCTAGACTCTTCTTGACAAGTTACAAATACTAAGAGCGTAGCAGTATCGATTCGAAGATATTTGTCGAAAGCTTTTATCAATAATTGATAATGTTGAAAATGTGCCACTCAACGAGGTTAAAAAAATGGTTTGATCCTATACGTATAATAAGACACTATTTTATAGATTGATTATGACGATTGCTAAATCTTTTATCAAAAGTATTACTGATTAGTGAATCAATTAAGTTCTAGAACTTTGCACGACTTGAGTATAAAATATTTTGTAAAGAAATGAAGATGATCTAAAATTATTATAATTGTTTCTTGCTTATAGTGGACGATCAACATGTTAGATCTTGTTCAAAACAGCCATTTATATTAGTTCGTATTCTTTTCACTATGTCTATCATTCCTACCATTGTATTAGCTATCCTCTATGCTAATGAAAAAAACGCGAAATCTACACATGGTATTGATCTAGTAGATATACATGTTTATTCTAAATACTTAGTTTAATTTTTAGCTCGCAATGATATATGTTTGAGTCCATATTGCATAAAAGCAGGTAAATTTTAATTTTTAGAAAATTCTAAGAATGATACGTTATTTTCTGTAATAGCTAATTATCTAATCGATAGCATTGATCAATCGGTTGAACCATGTGAGGATTTTTATCAATTTTCGTGTGGATCATGGCTTAAGAATACTAAAATACCTAACGATGGTAGATAAAATCGATGATTTTGCTGTAACTATAATCAGTATTTCATTATTTATAGCTGATGAACAAAATTCTTTTCAAATCCTTGACAAACAACTTCAAGAAAATATCGTTAGTAAGTTTCAATAAAGTTTTGTTTTTCATAACTTTATTTATTATCTGTATATAGATTTACTATCAACGGCATCCACGAATAGCACTGCTGAGCCTCAATCCGTGACTAATGCACGTACTTTGTATCGTTCGTGCATTGATGAAATGAAGATTGAAACAGATGGAGTTGATGCGATCTTATCATTAATCAATACGCATTTTGATGGTTGGCCAATATTGCAGGGTTCTTCATGGAATAGTTCAGCATTTAATCTAACAAATCTATTACTTAAACTTCGACAATATAGTTATAATATTATCTACCTGATCGGTAGTCTTACTGACGAGAATAATTCCTCGGCCACTAGTATTTATGTAAGTTAGATTAATGCAGTTAGTAATTTTGTATGAAACATGAAATTGTTTTTAGGTGGGTCAAGCCTCTCTTGGATTACTACAACGCCAATATTATGAAAATGAAACTAATATTACAATTGCCTATCGACAATTTGTATCGAATCTAGCTCGAGCATTGACTAATGATACGTCAATGATCGATCAAGATGTCAAGGAAATATTCGATTTTGACAAGAATATTTCAAAGGTTAAAGTTAATCACACTATGTACACCTAATATCTCTTTTGCTTTCAACGATTTAGTATCATTGGACTGTTGCAGAGCAACGAGCTCGAAATAATGAAACAGTTCGAACAACAGTTGGCAATATGTCTCGTATATTGAACACTACTGTAAATTTTTAATATTTTTTTTTTCTTTTACTTATGTTTATTGTTTTTCTTTTCTAAACAGTTTGATTTCAAGAATTATCTCTATCGCGCATATCAATTTGGTAATGTAACTCTAAACGATATGGATACTGTGGCACTGCATGAAATAGATTTTCTCAAACAAGTTTCAACTTTAATTGATAAAACCTCGCCACGTATTTTACAAAATTATATTTTATGGTATTTTATGATGGATCAAGCAGCACTGATGCCGAAAAATATTCGAACTATTAAAGAAAAATTTGAACGAACTATCCGTGGTACAAGTGCTGAACAGCCAAGAACAGCACAGTGTAGCTCCTTTGTCAATACTGCGATGGGTTTTGCTGTTTCGAAACTTTACATTAAAAAATATTTTGATGAAAATGCTCGTAATCAGGTAAAGAAATTAGTATGTTTAGGAATCTTAACATCTTGTCTATTCGACTCAGTCATTAGAAATGATTGAAAATATTCGAAATTCATTTATTGATATACTCGACAAATCCACATGGATGGACAATACATCAAAAGTAAAAGCAATAGAAAAAGTAAATATTGATTTCTATTTTAGTTTGAATTCAAAAAAGAAATAATACTTTAGGTTAAAGGAATTGAACAACATATTGGCTATCCTGATTATTTGGGCAGTGAGAATAATACAAAACTTGAAAATGATTATGCTGCAGTAAGATTTTTAATTATTTTGGAAGGATTTTTTTAGTACATTATTGTTTTTTATTATCATTATTTGAGATATATTAATCTATTAACTGTTTAGTATGTTTTCGATACGTCTTACATTCACAATAACTGGAAAATTCAAGTAATACAATCCATAGAAAACTTTCAGCTACTTCGAAAACCTGTTCTTCGAAAACAATGGGAAACTGTGCCACCAACTATTATAAATGCATTTTATGATTCATCTAAAAATCAAATTGGTGCGTAAATTTTGTTGTCTGCATCATTGACTCGAAATTAATTTTTATCTTTAGTTTTTCCGGCTGGTATTCTTCAAATGCCATTCTTTGATAAAAATGCTCCAAAGTAAAAACTAGATAATCTCCCATCAATAAATATTTGTTCTTGCTTTTTTAAGATATCTTAATTATGGCGGTATGTAGTTTTTAATATTGACAGGATAAATGAAAACACCTTATTGAAGGCATCGGGATGGTAATTGGACATGAAATCACACATGGATTTGATGACAATGGACGTCAATTCGATAAAGACGGAAATCGTATTCCTTGGTGGACTGGTGAAACCATTGAAAAATTCAATAATCGTAAACAATGTATTATTGACCAGTACAAGAATTTCAGCGTACCACAAGTTGATATGAAGGTTTCTATCATTTTAAACTCGTATTTTCTTTTATAAATCTTAGCATTTGTTTATACAGAGCAACGGCGATCAAACACAAGGCGAAGATATTGCTGACAACGGTGGACTGAAAGCGTCTTTTTATGTAAGTAAAAAAATGAAACAAAATACGATAGCACTTTTGAATGAACCATCATAAAAATTTCATATCATCTAGTTTACATATTTGATTTCATAATAAATGTACTCTTTGATAGGCATATCAAAATTGGGCTAAAAATAATGCAAACATTGACAAAAAACTGCCAGGCCTAACAAATTATTCAGCAGAACAACTTTTTTTCATTAATTTTGCTCATGTTTGGTGTGTTAAAATGACTGATTCGGCTGCATTTAATCAGATTCTTACTGGTGTTCATTCACTTGGAGAGTTTAGGTAAGTTGCTTTTTATTTAACTGTTGCCATAGATATGTCTTGTTCTTTTGCATCTTAGAGTAACTGGTCCAACATCGAATTTCGATGAGTTCGATCGAGCATTTGGTTGTAAATCAGGTCAAGGAAATAGCCGAGTGGAAAAATGTGTTGTTTGGTGATCATGTCGCTGCTTTATATTTTGAATCTATGCATAAGACAATCACAGACAACGTTTATTTTATTTTTGTTTGATTATTTTAATATAACGACACGTTAACTAAGCACAAAAGACACTGAACTTCAAAATAAATAAAAAAAATAATGCTGTAATAGTTAATGATGATATGCTTATTACCAAAGCATGAAAGAAAAGTTATCGTTTTCGATGGATGTCAGAACATAGATAAACTGTTGAACGTAGAATGGTATCATAAGTAATGAGTCGTATGGTAACATTTAGTTATAGATTGAAAAAAGGTTACATTCCATACACTTCTCCACGCTTTCGCAACTCTTGTTTGAATCTATAGTGAATAAAATTTCATGATCTTATTTGTTGTTTTTGTTAAAGCACAAAAACTTGAGTGTCTATACCCTTATGTCTCACTTGGTTTATCTTAAGTCTCTATTCACTTTTTCAAGATGTACTTCATACATACAAAATATATCGTTCTCAGTTATATGTTACGAAACATAGTTTTACTTTCTCCTGACTTTTTTAAAAAGTTAAATGATAAATATAGTTAGTGTGTGCTTACACTAGAAAAAAAGAAAGCGTGTAAAATATATGGCCTAACTACGTTGATATATTCAATTCTATTGAACTCTTGACATGTACTTAAGTTTCAAATCCGACAATATTCATATGAATAAACATAAATATTTTAAGATTCCCAGACGATTCGATTATTAAATCAAAATTAATTTATCTATCCACATAAGTAAAGACAAAACTACTAATGGATGTTAAATAATTAGTCAATATTAATTATACTCGAGCGTTCATATGAAATTTTTACAGAAATGGCTGCCAGCAAGAACACGTCATGTTTTCTTTATCACATTCATTGTTAGTGTTTTTCAAGAACTGTTGAAAAATAGACTTTTTTGGGGTGTCAAAGAACTATAAACTGATGTATGAAAATAACCCAAGGAATCAAGATATAATTGACAGCTTCATTAATTCTATCAGTCATTCTCTGATAATATTCTTTGCAATTGTACAGTCAGTCATCTTCAGATATTTCTCAATCGATATACGTGCAAGAAGAAAACGATGGTAAAAAATGTATTTTGCATTGTGAAATTTTCCCAAATTCGTAGAAAATATAAAGAAGATTTCGTCTTAATACGTTTGATTGACATCTAACATTTTTCATGCAAAATATCTAAGACTTTTCTTCTTTTTTTCTACTATTCAATTCGAATCAAAATTCAAACATTCAATAATTTGAATTTTTGAAATTTGTAGAAAACGTTTTATTACTTTTTTTCTCCCTACGTTCAGCGTAAATTCTTTGTCAACATAACTTATCAAACAAAAAGAAAGCGTAGTAATCATCCCAGACAACACTAAAACAATATTGAAGAAGCATTGCTATTTTTATCATTAATTTTCATCATGCATGATTTCCATTATTACAGCTCACAGATACCAAATTGTCTTTGTGACAATCCCCAAGCTCGCATTATTTTGAGGCGTTACTCAAATGCTCAATAATAGGACACTATGATAGTCGACTCTTTTGCCTCTTCTACCAAACCAACCATTCTTTTATACTTTTAATAACGGAACTAAATTTTTAGCAGTCAGTGATTATCATTAGCTTGTTATGCTTTTTCTTTTGCTAATTTAAGTTAGTCTCCAAATATATTATTTGCTGGATAACATATCACGAAAATAAACTAGTGACCGTGATGCACGTACCTTCAAGATAAAGAAATCACGATCATTTATGTGTGCCAGTATGCAGAAGAAACCGGATATGACATCTTTGCATGAAGACAATATGCGTACACTTGTATCGTAACTAATTAGCCTAATTTTATAAATGAAAGAGTGTCATACGATCATAATCTCGAGTAATATAAATGATTATATTTATTCAGGCGTCGCCATTGAAGAGGGTACTTCGTTGTTTATCTGAGTTCTTGAAAAGTTAAAGTGTTTTTTTTTTAACAAAGTGACTTTTCATATGAATGCATATTCAACGGATGCGATCGAGCAAAATGGAGTACGATGGCATTTTAATTGTAATACTACTCTAGTATTTATGGCTGACATATATTCTACAATTATCATCTTGCCAACTAAGAAATCTCTATGCCGAAGGAAAAGTCACTCAATTGTTGGAATAGAGAAAATATAAAACTAACGAAATTATTTAGAAAATTTTTTGGAATAAGGAGACTTTTTCATTAAAGTTCTAAATATTAATAATAATTTTTATTAGATATTTTTTTTCCAATTGATTTTATTATGATAAAAATGAATGGCTGGAGCATGGTGACAGAAATAAATGAGCTTTTTAAATTGAATGTAATTGTTTGCTGAAAAATAAGAAAACAAACAAAATTAGAGATTGAAATGATGTAAACTATGAGATCAAAGATTTCATAAAATGATCTTTGTAGATCATCTATTGAAACACATTTTTACTTTTCTATTAGTTTATAAAATAAACCCCAGTCACCCCACTCAAGAACTTCAACAAAAAAGTAACGTTCGAATTTAGAATTGACAAATCTTTGTACCATTCGTTGCTAATTAGAATAAGTTAGTGTTAAGCTTTTACTATATTAATATCTGAAGAGAAGAAAAATATTTCTCGGTAAAGACTCTCTGCGTAAAATATGTAAAGTCCAAACTTTAACATCAGCTCCTTTGGCTCTCTTGAGAGGGATTAACACATCCGTTAAAAACACTATCGTAGACGCACAATACCTCCAGGGCAATAAGTTAAAAGTCTATAATTGTTTCCAAGTATGCATAGCTCATTTATTTCTACACAATGTGCAGTGTCGACTGATAAACAGTTTATCAATTAGAAAATGTTTCACTTAACACAAATATAATCAAATTCAAGGGCGAACGTAAAAAAAGAAACGTTAAACAAGGTCAAAAACTTTTATGCAATAGTTATTGTTCGATTTATTTATAGAATAATCAAAGTCAAAGTTGATGTAGGTAATATAATCACATATCAATCTCACCCAGCAGAAAAGGATCCCGAAGAGAACTAGGCAGAAATTTATTTTTACATATTTCATGTTCTACTCACCATATTATTCGGTAGCTAACAATTTGATTCTGTAATGTTGCATAATTAAAACGAAACCAGGTCGATTCTAGTGTTAATAGGATTGAGAAAGATCTATTGCATTATCATTCCATATAAGAAAAATCTCTTTTATATTTGTATTGAAACAAAAAAAAACAAACAGAAAGGAATGTTTGTGTTACATTACACAGATACAGACAAAGACTAGAATAAACAAGAATAGAATTGTATATGTATATATTTATATAAAGAAATTTTCGAATATTTTTTTTTCCTCGAAATTCACGGTGACAAATGATCATTTAATGGTGATGAAGAGTTCGATTCATCATCATGACTTGATTCATCGTGTGTATGATATGGTTCTTGTTTAACAAGTCGATTCGGTGAATTAATACCATTGACATTATTAGCAAAAGGAACCATCCGACTCATTATAGCTCGATAAGCAGCCATTTGCGGATCGAGTAATGATGCTGATGTATCGTAACAATCAACATCACCCATAGGTGCAATTGATTTTTGCTGTTGCATATGTAAATCATCATCACCATTCATATTTTCAAAATCATTCGTTGTTGACATTTGATTATTACTATTATTGGCTATATTCAATGGCATCGAATCATCATGGATTGATACTAAATGAAGCCAAAAAAAAACAAGGAAAAGAAATGATGCATGTTTGTATTATGACTAAGAATAAAATACCTCTTTGACTCTTAGCCATTTTTCTTTTATTTTGAAACCAATGTGTGACAATAGCATCTGTGACACGATCACGTTCATTTAATACTTCATTTGTACCTTCAATACGTGTTCGTGCTTCATTACATACACGAGCTATATCTTCACGACGGCGTGGATCAGGATATGGATTATCGAGAAAAGCTTTTTCGAGAATCTAAAAAGAAATCATTCGTGTTAGGAAATTTTCGATTTAAAAGATCTTACATCAAGATGTTCGGGTCGAAAGGTAAATCGTGTACGTTTTGGTGCATCGAAAGAAACAGGTGATACATTAGTATTCGTTTGAGATTCAGAAATACGAGGCACTTTTGTCGGTGGTTCACATGATGATGTTAAATTAGCTAATAATTCAGCAGACGGTGCACCATTACCTAAAACAAAATGACATCCAATTGATAAGTTAATATTTTTCACGCAGTGAACTTAAAAGTATAACATCAATCGTATTCAAGACTTGAACATTTCATTTTCTATCCAATGATATTTTAAAAGAAAAAACACAGATTTTAACATCATTGACATTGTATTATCAGTTCGATATCAACTATCAATCGAAAGGTATTTACAAAATAATATTCGATCCTTTTCGACCAGTGGTAGTCTATCAACAACTATTATTCTATTCGAAATTGTATTTAATTCTTAACACTATTTAATGTTCGAATTTTTTCTTGTTAAATACCCATCGAAAGGTTAATAGCATAGCAGGAGCAACTATGAATTCATTTTCAAATATACAACTTATCGTATCAATCAGTCAAACATAAAAATTAATGGACCTATTTCTTTTTTCAACTAATGATCATTAATGTTTATCATTATAGATCGATTTAATATTTAATGAGAAAAAATGAATGTAATTTTACCCATTGATTGAACTATTTTTCTATATCTTATGTACCAACGGCATATGGCCATTCGGCCATTTTCAGATAAATCAAATAAATCACCACGTAAGAATTTTGATACATAGGCTTGATTAACAGCTAAAAGTAAAAAGAATCAAATAAAAAACGAAATGTTGTGAATATATATATATATATATATCTTACAAGCCATTCGAGCAATTTGTGATTGCTTAAGATCATATCGATAGACGAATACAGATATTTCATTGTGAATAGCAACATCACCCTTACTAGAACGATAAAAAAAAAGCAGAGGTAAATTCTTTATTGAATAATGATTAAGGCAAGCTATTACTATTTTATTACAAATAATAAAAATACGATAAGATTATATCATCAATTTTATGATAAGAAAGAAAAGCAATAAATTAATTTATGATTATTTGTTGATTAGTTTACAACCTTGATATTTATTACTCAATAATAAGTAATAAAATTTTCGATAAGATAAGGTAAATAGTTTCATTCATTCATTTATTTTTCTTTAGAATTCTATGGTTTCATTTTAATTTAGTGATATGTTTATTTATTAGTTGATTATCAATGAAATAATAATAAAATCATCAAAGCACTCATTCGATTTTTAAATTGGATTCTTACACAGTAGTAAGCATCAGTTTCTCTTTTTGTCAAAATGAATTAAGTTTCTTTCTTCTTTTCATGCTACTCAACTCAAAAAGTTTTTTTTATACAAATAAAATAAATTAATAATATTGCTGTTTGAAATTAAAAAAAAATAAACAATACATACGAAAGTAGTTCTTGTAATTCTTTTGTTTCGTCTTCAATATCATTTTGATTCATTGTTTCATATTGATTCATATTTGTTGAGTTCATTTCATTAACACTATTTCTTGAACGAACATTTACACTCGGGGACGGTGTTTGTTGATGTAAATGTGTATGATATCCATTCGATGTTGTTGATGAAGATCTCGATGCTAGTCCATTAACAGTATGACTATGTGGTCGTTTATTATTCGTTTGTACCGATAATGATGACGGAGATATCTGTTGGTTGATCATAGCTGATGGTGATACAGGATCAGTTGAAGGAGCCGTTGTTGACGATAGCGGAGGCGCTGTATTAAATAGATTTCCAAGTTCACGGTCAAGTCGATCAAGTTCATCATAAGCTCGAATAATTTGTGCTTTCGTTAAATGACTATTACGTAAACGTCTTAATAATTCCCATTGTTCAACAGATAACTGTAATGATGTCGATGACAATCCATCTCGACTGTTCGATGATGCTTCCATCATCATCATTCAGTACCTATCAATGTCTATAAAGAGTAGGACACAAAAAGTGTAATATGTAGAAGAGAAAGGACGAAAAAAAGAATGATCGACGATTAACACAAATACGAGCCTCGTTTATTCGTGCTCGATTTGCATATTCACGAATATAGAGTGTTATGTGAGAGGAGACGAAGAAGGGGAGATAGGCCACGTTTAATTGCCAACACATTAACCGCCTTGGTACGGTCATATATATAAATATATAAGAATCAAAAAGTAATCTAGTCGTTTCTTTTTTAGTCTTCCAATTTTTTCTTTTCTCTTTTTCTCTCTTTCTATATGTCGATATAATAAGAAATAATAATTAAAAAGAGATTAACAACTTTTCTCTCTTGAATTTCTCTATTACTAATAGACATGTTCTCTAGTGCACTCCTACTTTATGTTTATCGAGCATATCGATGTCGATATCTAATTAAGAAACGAAAGAATATTAATTAATGACGAAGCGAAAAAAATGTTTTCTATCTTCTAGTAACTCGTTTGTAGTAAAAGAAAATTAAAAGAAAAAAAAACAAGAAAAATTGATCACATTCTCTACATTGCCCCAGTTAGAACATATAACTATGCGTCAACATTCGAAAATGAAAACGAATTCTTCTATTTCTTTTCCCCTTCCTGTCTAACTTCATATATACGCGCATCAATGCCTAGTCAGTAGAGTGATAGTTCAGAAAAAAAAATAAGAGAGCAGATGAATGTATAGTGTCACCCGTAGTTAAGTTGTCTTTGTTTATTCTTATCGACTTGAATGTCTATGTGTGTGGAAAAAAAGTAATATTATTCCGAATGAGAAGGAGAGACGAGAACCGTTCTCGAAAATAATAATATTATTATTATTATATTAACAACAACGATGAAAATAGATGGTGTAGTCAACGAGAAGAACAGAAAGAAAAAGAGGGAGGAAAAACGAAGGGAATGAGAAGATGTCTAATAAATCAGCCGAGAGGCCCGGTCGAGTTGTCGGGCAGTTTTTTTCTCTGTTGTCGTTAACTATCTTTAGTCATCATTGTTGTCGACCGAGTGTACGAGAGAACGAAGCAATACTTTTTATCCTATAGTCATAACCAATGAATAATTAGTAAAAGCGAATAGAGTATGTGTTAAAAGAGGAAGAAAGTAAGATATATATATTCAGCAATTTTTACCCTGCATGAAAAAACTCTTAATTATTAATTTTATTGGCAGCAATAGAATATTTCTTATTTTTCTTTTCTTTTTGTCCTTAATAAATTGTCTTTTTTCTTAAACATCGTAAGAATATTCTACAATAAAGAGATACTACTCGTAAACTAAAAAAAAACTTTATTTGCCATTTATGAACTGTGTGACACGCTCAACACGTTTTCCTGCTGTGCATGCCTAATACTATTTAGAGCCATGTTTTGTTCATTGAAGTTAGCTAATATAATTATGAATCATAGAATTGAAAGTCAAATCTTATTTTCAGTCGAACAGCTCAACATGCATCGATTGATTAAATTTGAATTTACTCATGTCAGATCAACCTATCTAATAAAGTATAATTTATTACCCTTATCACATGAAAATTGTCTTGTATCTATAAGGGTTGAACTTGTCCATTTTGAAAATTTTTCATCTGTAAGAGAATAGAATGAAATTTTGACGAATAGTATTATTTCAAACCGATAAGAAGCATTAACTTTTAGGCAAGAATACGAACAATTACATGATAAATTGTTCAAAAATATAAAGCGACCGAAGGGTAATGTTACATCTGACCGTCGAGAGAGAATTTTTCAAAGGAACAGTATAAAAATTGAACGCTGAAAAAAAGAAATGATTTATTTATCATTTCAAGTTCATATCGATGAATTTATGATTCTAGAGGTTCAATATGATTAGTGGATAGTACTTACAAGAATTACTGCTGATGAAGACATACGCATAAATTACTGTTGTACTACAAATATTTATCAACGAGATTGATTGTTGATCGCGTTTGATATTTTTTCTTTCTAATTAGTGGTAAACATAAACGAGATTGAAAAGCAAGATTTTGCGTCTATTTCTAGTCAGCATTTGAAATGAATAAAATCAACATATGCATACGATTCAATAGTCTCAATGTTATAATATTTTTCTTTACTCAATAAAAATCAACAGGAGTATCATTAATCAATAGAATAGAAAATGTTTACATTCAGTCCATGAAAATTTAAGCAGCATTATCAGCATTTATTTTGCCATAATCGTAATATCAATATAGACAAACGATAAAACATATTAACAAAGAGAGAGAGAGAGAGAGAGAGTAAAATAATGATCTAGATATTTTCTAATATAGGTATATTTTAGTTATTTTATGTCAATATTTACGTATAGGTTTAGTAAAAATAGAGAAAAAACATGATCAAAATCATAATCGTTATGATTTTCTATTAGAAAAAAAAAGAAGAAGTTACGATTCTAATTTTTGATGATCTATTTTTGTGAACATGACCGTAAAAAAGAGGAAAATATTAGGTTGAAGTATTTCGTATTAAAAGTTGGTTTACAACAGAAATAATGTCGATAATCGGATTATTTGTATAATCAACTAAACAAAAAAGTGAGAGAATAGATTTTTGATTAGTTTCGTGAAGATTATTGTTAAATGATATTCAAGTAGTAAGACTCGATTTAGCTCTTCTATCATTAGATGTAATTAAGGGATGCACGATAAATATACAAGGAACGACAAATCTTTTTCTTTTTTCCAGGTGATTCTATTCTATTATCAACTAACTATTTATATTGTATGTCCATTGGATCGTTTTATTTTATGAGAAATTGTTCTTGAATTAAATGAAGAACACCGATGACCTAGTTTATGTAAGAAAACAAAGAAAATAACATTCAACCAGTCGACTATTAATATCCTACTTCATATTTATTTAGCGTTTCTTACCGACTAATGATAGTATTTTTCTATCTATATACATATTTAAATTAAAATATCACGCTCATACTCTTCGTAAATTTCATTAGTTCTGAAATTTCTTCATTTTATTCCCACAATAGATTCTAATCTTTTCAATACTATCAAAAATGAATAGAATAAAAAAAACCTATACACTTCAAGAGAGTCATATTTCTTTCTACGTAAAATAGTTTATATTTCATTGATATTTATTACTATTTTAAATAAATGAACCTAAATTTATTTTACATTTAAACTCCGTACACGTTTTTTTTCCTGCACTGGTAACGACTAGTTGAAAGCTTTTATATTTGTCCTTAGCACGTGCGAAGTGAGTTGTTGTGAGTGGAAAAAAAATTGTAATACTCGTTTTTTCTTCTTCTTTCTATTCTTCGTCTAATGTCAAACAAGAAGTCTTCTTAATAAGCATTCATATCTAGCGAGCCGCTCACTTTGCTTTAATGCTTTTCCGCTATATGAACTAATAGGTGTTAATAAGTAAAATTATTAACATGAAATAATAAAAAGAAAATTTTTTTTGAAAAAGTAGAAACCGTTCCAAGAAGGAATGGTGGAAAACGCGTTCCATTTTTCGAAAAAACGTTTTTTTTCTTAAAAACAATTTTTCATCTTTTCGGAATCCGTTCTGTATCGTTCTCATTTGAAAATGTTGGATAACGAATTCCAACATCTAACGAAAACTTTCTCGATTAATTCTGTAAAAAGTATTTTCTTTGGAATTGCCTACCTACCTGGAATTTATCTTTTTTTTCTGTTTCGAATTTGATATACATTTTACTATTTTATTTGACTTACGTGGTTTTTTATTTCGTTAGCTGGTTTTTACTTGCCGCTGCGTCGGACTGGGTTCGTACTGACCAGGGTTGCCAACTGTTCAGGTCCCAAATGGGGTACACGTTAGGTACAACTCAGTTGTAAATGGGGTACATTCGTGAGGTACGCAGTTTACATCTTTCACACTGATCATCGGTTGCGGAAATCAATTTCGAAAACTATTTTCAATCAAGAAAGGGCATTCTCAGTTTTTCGTTTTACTATAAAGTCTAGCTTTCAAATTGAAATCTTTATTTTCTAATAAATATGTTCACAATAAAATTTCATTTTGACATACATATATTCAATTCAATCATAATAAAACAATGCTTACTCAAAACGAACCTTCTCGATTTATATTTACACTAACTGTTGCATACTTTTCTTCGAAACTGTATTTTTGTTGACTTTTGGCACACTTTATCAGTTGCGGTTGTGTTTGAGCAAAAGAAATGTCTTCACATGTCATAATACTATTAAATCTGATTTTCAATTTAGCAGCTATCGTTTCATTCGCCGTCAAATTGCGACTGGCTGTACATGCGCTTTTTTTTTACTAAAAACGCCTTCAACAAATGCATTCGAGCAAGGAATTGAGTGCACATAAGAAATAATTTTGTACATTTCAATACACATTGGTTTCGACTTTACAAGAAGAAAAGTCCAAAATTGATCAGACCGAAATTCCACTTTTCTTTCATGATTTTCGGTCGTCAGTTTGTGAATGAGATTATCTTCATCATGGGATTCGTTGCATATGTCATTGTTGAATTCTTCATAAAGATGATCATTAGCAGTCAATCAATATAATTGACGCTTCACATCTTTATCTATAGTAAATGTGAAATAAAGAAAAAGAAATTTTCTTAGTTTCAACCAAAATATGAGTAGCTGCCTAATTCGAGTTCGAATATAAATGAAAATTTCCGAGAATCCTATTGCCCACAAGAAAAAGATAAAGTTTAAAATTTATCCTAAATATAAATTTTATAATTCGTTTGATTCATAAATTTAGAATTGCATGTTATCAGGAAGAGGGCGTAATTGTCCAGTGCGGTTTCTGTGTGGGTATGGTCATTGCAGTAGTGTCGAACTTGAAAGTTGAGTTCAACTGAAACTTCAGCTTTCAAGTTTCAAATGTTATGTATGTGTGTAAACGTTGTTTTCAGCCTTTCGCGGCACCCACACCCTTCGTCGTAGTTAGTCTCCGTTAAGTTTTCATCAAATACATCAAAACTATGAATATGGCAATGTGTTCCCAAGACGTGTTTTAGGAGTAAGTTTCAGACGGATGGTGTCATGCAGTGAGGAGAACTAAAGTAACAAATATTGGCAAAAGTGTGAATTTTCCCTGCATCCGTGCGATGCGGAGAATGGCAATAGTTCAATTGTTAAAGCTGAAATTGATTTAGGGTATGGACCTGCGTGGTATGTAATGCTGTAGAAAATTTCAATTGGATTAAATGAATACTTCTTGAGCTGTTACGTGAGCAAAACCGCCTTTCGAGAAATTGAACCTTGAAACTAGAAACTTGAAGTTTCAGTTGAATTCAAGTTTCAAGTTCGACATGTATGGAAAATTGTGTACACAGAGATATTTTTTGGTCGGGGCTCTGTGAGGGAGCCTGCGCCCCAACGCCGCGACACTTAAATAAAGGTCTGCGTGGCGTGACAGAAGTCGGTGTGGCTGTCAACAACATCTAGCAGTTAGCCGTTACTAGACAGTTTCCATATTCTGTTAGACGACTCTCAAGATTGTTGTTGTTCAATGTTTAAACTTTTACTAAGCGATAAGTTTTTACCTGGCTTAGCAGTAGACCAAGCATATTTTAACATTTGCAGTTTCTAAAACGCCAATCAGTGGTGCCTCAGTTCGAATTATAAAATTTATATTTAGGATAAATTTTAAACTTTTGCTTTTTTCCCTTAACTATATGGGTGCCGGATTTTTTATTTTCGAATTGAATTTGTGTAGTTGAACCTTCATTTATATTCGAATTCGAATTAAGCATCTCATGCAAAATATGGATGATAGTAGTCGTAACATTGAAAAATGTAGATGAGGTACAAAATGCATACCTCAGAGGTAAAAGCAATTTTTTTTAGGTACAAAAGGCTCAAATGGGGTACGGCTGGCAACCCTGGTACTGACCTATGTATGCTTTTATGCTATTAAACTATCTTGCCTGATAGTTAGTGTAGTGAAAATACTACTGGAGTTGAATAAAATATTAGAATCAAAACATGTAAATTTTCATTTTAAACGTTCATTTCCCTTCATACCTAGCAGAAACAAGATGAAAACTTTAGTTTTAATCTATTGCTTATAAAATTAAAAGAAGTAATTATTATATAAAAAAATATTTATCTAAATATTTAAAAAAAAGTATGCTTACATATTGCTTCATGGATTGATATGTATCATGTGAAATATGATTGTGCACATATATTTTAAATTTAAATGTAAATTCAAATAAAAAATTAGATCGACTAGACTAATATTTATAGGACGACTTTTTCTGAAATTATTCTCAACTATACAAGACACACCCTTGTACTTTTAAAACTAACTATTTGACCCAGAAACTAACAACATGCTAGCCGTCTACTACCAGTACCTAAAATATGTGGCATAAATGAGCGATTATATTATCCATGTATGAGTCCCAGCCAAAATATACTTGTTTCTTAAATTCTTAGCCCGTTCTATTTATTCCTCGAAATTAAAATTAATCTTGTACGTATAGTTAATAAGGAAAGATTTTCCATTAAGGGCTATGAAAAGTATTTTAATGCAATTTTCTTTCATTTGTAATTTCCGTATAAGCATATATTGTAAACTAATAAAGTAGCATGAAATTTCATATTGATTTGGAATCCATAATCCACTCTCCCCCCGACGACTCCCCAGGGAGTCCCCACAAAAGAACGAAATCCCTAGGGACTCCCTGGGGATTCTTATAGGAAGAGTTGACTAGGGATGTGGTCTCGGTCTTTCTCTGGGACCCATCATGGACATGACGTCTTCATTAAAGTTTATTGATTGGTACTAGATTCTCATGATCAAACATTATTTGCTAGTTGTTGTTCATTCTAATACTATTGGCATGTTTAAGAGAATAGGTCGTTTTTGACATGATATTATAGCTTTAATAAAACTATCTCATATTACGGTGAGATTAGTAAAATCTCGTCATAGATTGGACGTCTTTACTAGGAGTATTTTTTTACGTTATTTTAGAAATATTTAGTGTTGCATGATATGCTCATTAATGTTTTGTAAGATTTACTATGGAAAATAGAATCGTGCGAGCAACAAAAACAATCTAATCGATTTCAGAGTTTCTGAAAGATATTTTCCATACGTCTACTATATTTTTCACTTACAAATAATAAACTTTCTAGTACGAGAAAGCTCGCTAACCTTTAGCATAAGATTTGCGACCGTATTGGTAACAGTAAACCATATTTCAACGATATCATCTCCACTGTGTATTTTGTGGTCGACTTGTGTCTATTGTAGTGAATTTTCAAATCATTTTTAGACATTTAACAGAAAGTCATATATCGATCTGAACTTCCATCCACAATTAGATCTAATGATTTTTATGATGTCCGAGGAGTTTCGACCGACCGCTCACTAGTTATTGAAAAATGGCTTCAAAATTCAGGAAAATGATTGGAACACGAATCGAGAGGTCAATCAGTACGAGCAATGCCCAGTTTTTCCCTTTGGTTTTCTATCAGATTGCTTCAAATGCAATCGTTTTTCTTGAGAAAAAAAAGATTGCATTTAGATTAAAAATATAGTATGTCTAGTGATGCAATAGGGAAAAACTGAATTACTGAAAAAGAAGTCTCCCGTTAAAAATAGGATGTATTTATATGAAATAAAATAATTTATTTGACACAATTGAACAGAAAAGATTTTGTAATGGTAACTATTAGATTTGTTACAGCGTGATAAGCGTGCATGCGAAAGGAGCAATAAAGCCTTCTTGAAATAATATTGAATATTTGTTCTTTCTCCGAATGGAGAGAAGAAGAATATTATGTTACAAAATTAATAAAAAATATTTTAATGAATTATTAGAAATCAATCTTTTCGGAATATGTTATTAATCCTGTGAAAAATTTCAATTATAAAATACTAGTTATAGCAAGAGTTTTTAAAATGTATAGACTATCCTCTACAGAATAAAATCATAAGTCTTAGCATTGTTTAGGAAAAATTACGAAGTTCAGTTGTATCGAAGATGAAAATATATCAGCAAAGACAATGTTGATGACCAATTCCATTCGTTAAGCCTTCGTGTGAATTTAAACAAAAAATAGGTAACATTTTTCTCTTTCAAGTAAAGGAATCTGTTCTGTATTGGAGTACTATTGAACACGTATTCGACATGCAATCTGTCGATAAATAATTAAATTTGACTTTCATGAATAAAAGAGAGCGTTGACATTATAAATGAAGCTCATGAAGTTAACTCCCAATGTAGCCGATTTCAAATTTGAGAATTTCACGAATGATGTGATGTATTTAATACTTTTCTACAGATTGCAATTTAAAACGAAATCAGCTATTTAAAATCAATATGTATAACAGACAACGAAAACAGTAATCTCAGAAAATGGCCGTTCAATGTTTATTCTTTTCAGAAGTCTGTAGAAATTTGAGTGATGATTTTGATTTAAGACTTGAGAATCGACTTGTTCATGTTCTAGGAAATTAATGCGATTAACCTTTAGTGTTTTAAGACTTAGATAGCCCGTAGAAAGAAATAAGTTGAAATCTAGGAAAAGAAAGAGCGAGTATTTCTCTTATTTATTTTCATTTTAAAAATTGAAGTCAATATATATGAAAAATATACGCATTTTGATTATCATATCTATACCAAGTCTTTACAATTGTATTCAAAGCAATCAATGAGTAAAATTTTACAGTTACAGCATTTTATTTATCTCATTCGTTATCATTCATAACTATGCACTATAAAAATATTTTTAGCTTCGATGCTACTATCAAAAATGTATCGTTCGTTAATGAATACATGTGGACTCTTAGATGAAAGGTTTATTGAAGTGCACTTGATAGATAAAGTGAATGGAACTAATAGTAGGTCTATTAACATTTCAATAATGATACATCTTAATAAAATTGTAACCGTATTGTATGACAAATAATATAAAATTGTCAATTAATAAGCGTTTCATAATCAATGTGCTTCTAAATACTCTATCTATGTCTTGTTTAGATCTTCTACATCGACTTCAGTTTGTGCTAAAATTTTGTTCGGTAAGCTTTTTCAAAAAAAAAAAATTTCAACAAAATGTTGACCTGTAAAAACTCGCATGAAAATATTTTTTGCAAAATACTTTCACACAGACACATGACTTATTGGCACAACTTCATTTCATAATGGCATTAAAGACTATGCTTGGAATTTTCGAATAGCTCATACATACGTGCTTAGGTATATATCCAGTTATGGAAAAAAGACAATGAGCCATTCAAAGAATAAGCTGTTAGAACATTCTTTCTTTCGATCCTACACATCTTCAATTCGCGAAATCTTGTAATTAAAAATTAAAATCGAAGTAGTGAGCATAAAACGTCAAATATGGATCAAATGCTAAGACATCCATTTATGCTATTATCTTTCGGATGATAGAATTACATAATATCAATTTGAAACATAAACGTAACTATTATCAGAATAGAAATAAAAGCAAGTTCAATTTGATACGAAAAAAAAGAATCGCATATCTAATAATCTTCAAAGTATTAACTGTGAAGGTTTATCCAAATGACATCATTCAAAATTGGTTCAATATTCTCTGGAAATATCCAAGTTCATGCAAGAAAATTTAAAAAAATTGTTGTGTGACATCGTAAGAGAGAAACTATAAAAGTCTAATCGTATTTAAATTATTCGAATACCTAATTTAATTAGGAATATTTATTAAATAAACATCTATTCTTTCTTAGCTCAAAATAAAACTAATAGGATAATTAAATAATTTCATGATAACAATTTTAATGATAGATATAAAAAGTCTACTGCTTTTTTTCTAGATATGTTGAATGGAATACAGCAATAAAATTGTAATTCACTTTTCATGATATTCTACAAAAACAAAATCATTCTTTTATAGAATATAGATATATAACTATTGTGAAATGAATAAATACTCGTTGAATATTAAAACATTCATTGTCAGATTTAGCATAATTATTTTCTGATGAAGTTGTTGTTTGGTTCGATATTGAAAACCTTAAAGGCAACCACCACGTTGTACAATATGATGAATCGCAAGGACGATAATTTAACGCCATAGTCATATTGAATAGTTAAGAAAACAATCTGATCTCTTGTCTTTGTGTTTTCTTATACTAGCAAATTGGGTTTCTCTTCTCATTCATAGGATTGAAAGAAACCATATAATCAGAGAATAGAGCCTCTTATTACTGCTTCTATTTTAAACTGCCTACAATATCAATTCACTACAATTAAATGAAAAATGTTTTTTTTCTTTTTCTTCTTCTCCTCTAGATCTATCTTTTACTATCATGTTTGATACTCTAGTAAGCCTGGAGTTAGTTGAATAATGCGCAGTCGGAAGTCAATTTCTAGGCTTTTAATAGAAGAGTCACTTGATGCCAGAAACTTCTTGGGCTATTCTTCAACTAAAACAGTTGATTCTAGTTAATTTTCCTGAGTGAAAATTTAATGGCTTGATCCTTATCATTTACTTTGGTGTGACGGATTATTTTGATTATGAAAATTTTCTTTTTCTTTGCTTGAGGAAAACATTAAATAGTTGTTGTAATATAAATCTTATGAGAAAAATACCGACTGTTAATGTTGATCGTAGAATTTTGTTTTGTTTTTGAGAAAATGAAAGTAGCTGTACTTGTTTGGTGAATAATTGAAGCCAACGTTTTGTGAAACAGAGCCGCGATGAACGAGATTTACTATACAAAACTTGCACGCTTTATACAATTCAGTCTATTAATTTTATTTATGGTTCCATCAATTCTATGTGCTCTCTATTTCATCTACAATACGATAAAGATTCGATCATTTCGTAAACGATTTCAAAATCAAACATTAATTATTCTTGTTTGCATCATCTTATTAGATATAGTTTGTAATCTTTCGATCACATTGAGGTATGTTCTCATGGAAAATGAAGAGTTTATTGAATTGATCTATCGGAATGGTTCTATGAAACTAGAAAAATAATTTCACAAGAAACAGGTTTTTTTTTCTAAAGTCGAAATATAGACTTTTTGACTTTTAGTCTCAATAGTATTAGTTTGAATAACATTGCCGAGCTTAGTATGAAATTCTTCTGTAAAAACAACGATTTTAAGAGAATAATAAAAGAATTTCTCCAACTGTGTCATTAAACTGGCATCCTTTTATGAAAGATTCCAAAGATTAGTACACAGAGAATTTTCAAGGTAAAAGAAAAAACTTTATAAGATCTGTCTGCATGATGATTGTTATCCAGTGAAGATAAGTGCTAAGAACAAGTTTCAAGACGTTCTATTTTATTTAACAATATTTCTCCTATTAGAAGAATGCCTTTACAAAATCTAATCGATTTAATCTAGAAAAATGTTCCCAAATTTGTTCACTACAATTCGATAAATACTTGTCGTGATAGAAAATTGTTTCAATTAATTATGTGCTTTTGTTTTTCAATTTATTTTAATTGTTACCATAAGAATTAAACGTCTAAGATTCTGTGTTTTCTAATTTTGTTATTTTGACGTTGTTTATAGTTTTTATGGTCATGGATCTATTGGCATTAAAACAAAATTTTTCTGTGAATTATGGGAATTTCTTGATTATGCCTTTACTGCCCTTATTGTCTGGTATACAGCAATATTTACTCTTGAACGATATATGCTTGTGTTCTATTCAAATCTGCTTCGTTCTCCAAAACAAAAATTAATTTTCCATTATGTGCCACTAATAACAATAACTGTGTATTTATTTGTGTTCTATCTATTGGCTAGTTTTGTTATAATATGCTTGAGTACATTAAATTATAATAAGCTTTTATGTGGTACTCAGTGTCTTGATCAACAGAATGTGTTATCAACATTTAATTGGTTGTTTAACATATTATTTCCAGTATCTGTAGTTATAGTTGGATCATTTCTTTTACTTATACATGTTCTATGGAAACGACGAGAGATGCAACGAAATTTAGGGAACTGGTCAAAAAATTGGAAAATGATTGTACAACTTTTAGGAATCGCAATTGTTTATGTAACTGTCTGGGGCCCGCTTATATGTCTCTCATTATTCTCAATATTCTTTTATCGTAATGATCTTATCGATCAAATTGAACACTATATGTATTTTACAAGTTATTTATGTGACATGATCACACCTATTGTGGCTGTATTTTTAGCACCTGAACTTATGCAAAAACTGCGTGGACGTACGAGACCAAGTACAATTGATATTGGATCTGTAACTATTCGTCAATATTCAAATAATTAACTATGAGAATATTTTCTAGATCGTGAATGTGCGTGTGTAGAACAGAAGAACTCGATCTATGTCAATATTTTATTTTCATTTCAAAATAAAGTTTTCTTATGCAAGAGAAATACGATGACATGTTTACTATTATTTTATTTTAGTAAAGTAATTCATTTGCGCTATTTTGCAACATATCACCCTTAGACAAATAAATACGAAGCATAAGATAATCAAATATCAAGAAAGTTCGGAGGAATTTAAATGAATAATTTAATACGATTGAAAATATGAGTCAATCTTCGTTGCATATGCTGAAGTCATCTGTCGGATTCTCAATATCTTAAATTTGCCATATGATACGAGAGATTATTCGTTTTGAATAATGATTATTGGCGCCTTAGTTTAGATCTACATAAAAACTACATAAACATCAATTAAGAGCAACATGGATTTTCAACAAATGTCAGAGTGTTTTCGAAATATGAATTTTTTGAATGATAAATTCACCGATACACGAATTCCATCTGCATTAAGCAATGAAGAAAATAAATTATTAGAAGAAAGTGTTGAAACTAAAATGAAAGATCTATCATCGTTACAGTTAGATATCGTTGAAAACATGGATCGAATTCAAATGATTGATGATCATCAAAAATTAGTTCAAGATGAACTTGCAACTATACAGGTTATTTTAAGTAGTGAGAGTCAGAAATTCGAGAAACATCGATTTTAATTTATTTGAAGAAGTGTTTCTAGTGTTGATAACCCAATTAGGTGTAAAATAAATTGTTCATACAATTCCTGTGAGATAAAGACAGTTCAAAATGGTCTAACTATTCCGAATAATCAATGGGAGATCGTTTTATTCTACCTATTTTCTTGCACTTAATCCCCCGGGTATACACCAAGGTAATTCTATATTAGGAGCGTCTGAAACATCTGTGACGAGAGGAAATGTCTATACTGATACGTCAACAGCCATTTTAAATTGGGCGGTCTATTCAAACATAGCGGGAAATGTTCCTAAAGAAAATTTCCACTAGCCTCGCATTACTGATATCTAATCGTTGATTCTATTTTACTGATAATACTCTTAATAGAGATTACTAGCAGCACGTCGAAGAGAAGAAACAACTGAACAAACACATATAGATCTTGATACCGTAGAAATACAGCGTACCGAACGATTAATAATAGCAATGGACAATCATTTGATGCAAGTTCGAAAACGACAAACAAATTTTGAGGTAAATCTTATATATCAAAAAGCGTTTTTTGTGTTGTACTCTTTAATATAAAAATTACTATTAGATAGAAATAAATGAAATGTATATGCAAATAGACAAAATAAATGATGAAACATTAAATGAAAAGGATACATTAGAAACGTACGTCGATTTTATGAAGAAAAATGATGATGATACTTTTTGTTTAATGAAATATACACTGCAAGATAATATTCGTATAAAAGTAAAAATAAAATTATAGTGTTCAGTATTTTCAATTTATTTAAAGGAATTAACAGCCCAATTGGAGCAATATTCCGGAAAATCCATTAAACTAAAACGTGTTACTGAAGAAGGACGACTTGAATACTATAGTTTTCAAGTTGAATTAGACAAAATAGCTGATACATTTCGTCGTTCCTATGCGCACCGCCAACAACTTATTCAACGATGGGAAACAATGCTTGTACAAATGCAACGAAAAGATTATGATATAGACAAATTGGCGATGGTAAATATATCATAGATCATCGATTCGAGATTTTCAATAAAATTTTGTTGTAGAAATTTGTTCAAACCAAAGTTCAAGCACGTGCTAAAGAACAAGAATTAAGCGAACAAAAACTATTCTATGAACGTGAACAAAAAGATAATATTGTTACTGAAAAGTTGATTGATTTAGCCAATAGAAAACTTATAAAATTAAAAGCTAAACAAACGAGAAGTAAAGTAAAACAAGAACAGTTACAAGCAGATGTAAGATGATATCAAAAATGTCTCTAGAGAATATTCTCATTTTTCCTGAAGGAATATGATGTTGATGTCTCTGATAACAATGTTTTCATACTCAAGCAAACAATCATATGAGCTCTATGAATATCACTAAAAGGCAACAAATTAGATCCACACGTCGTAGAAACCTTTTGAAACAACTCGGCATTTTGTTTCTGCTAAGCAAAATAATTAGTTTGACACATCATTAGCTCAATTGCTTATATATTAGAATAGTCTGAATTGAAAAAGCTCCTAGACCACTCGAGTTCTATAGAAAATGAGAATAAATATCATTACACTCAAAAACCTTTAGACTCGATCATATCGCCATTGGTCTTTTAAAGACGAAAAAGAGACACGCAGAACTAACTCTTCATTAAATCTAATAAATATCCTCGCTCGCTTTACACACAAAGAGCTGATGTTCAGGCTATTCAAAATTTTGCTCTTAGGTTTTTTCATTGAAAACTGTTCTTGTCAATACGCAAAATGAATTCCAACGTGAGCATACATCTATCAATGAAATAAAAGTCAACATCAGAATAAAACAACAAGCGTAATATTTCAAGTCAATTCAACACTATTTGCTCATTCTTTTAATTTCTAGACTTGAAAAACTTAAAAAACGTCATGAACAAATGCTAGATCGAAAATATTCTATTCTTAATGAAAAGTTTTCAACCGATGAAAAATTAGTTAAATTTGAAAAACTAATGGAAAGCGAACAAAAATATCAAACTAATCTAAATGATCAATACAAAAAATTATCGGAAATATCGTTTCAATCAAATAATAAATTATTATTCATACGTAAACATGAAAAACAATATGAAATCGATATTCAAGCATATCAAAATCAAATACATAATATGAAAAATCTAATAAATCAATTAGATCAACAATTATTAAAACAACAAGAATTAATTTATCATCAAGATTTTATTAAGCAAACAGTTGATCGTCGTCTTAATCGGTTATTGGGTGAAAAAACCAATGAAAAAAACTCGGAAATCGATCTTAAAATTCGCGAATTACAAAATGAAAATAATAAGAAAAAATATGAATACGATCAATTACAAAATCAAATTAAAATTCTAAATGAAGAATTACGAATAGTCAAACGTGATTTCGATCAATTAATGATAGAAAAAAATGATTTGAGTGAAAAGTTTCTTCAATTTGACCTGTATACTACTTTAAGTGATAAGTTAATCAAAAAATTAAATGATGAAAAAGAGGTTTTATTTTATTTTCAAAAGAAAAAAATGTATCATTTCTATTGATCTAGGATTATCTAGTTGAAGAAAATCTTCTTCATATTGAATTAAAACGATTGAAAAATATTCTATTTGATTCAAGTGAAATAAATTTGACCTTAGAACAACAAAAAATTGAATTACACAAGGTATTTGACTCTTCGATAGCAAAAGCATTAAAACGATGTATTTTCAAAATTATTAATTGGAATTGAAGTTTACTAGTTTTTCAGAGACAGAAAGGCGTTTCCGAGCATTCTGCGAAAAAAAAAATTAGTAGCTTGAATAGTTTACTTTTGCGTGTATTTTAAATTCTCTCAATGCGCTAGGTGGTTTTTGCTTATAGTTCGACACATAGCGAAAACTTGATTTTAACGTGAGCTCGCAATAAATCAGATGTGTAAGCTATGAAAATTTGAGGATGTCGCTCGAATGAAGATTAAAAATGAGAAAAGATTTCGTGATATCATACAAATAAACTTTCGAATAGTTTAGTTTAGCTCGTTGTTCGAAGCACGGAAGCTAGTGCGATTGATAACTGTCAACACTCAGGAAACAAAAAATCTTTTGTTCATCTAGTTTAGTAAAGTATACGGGAAAAGATTGTAATTATTTGATTGAACGTGACTCGATAGTTTTTTTAGGTTAGACGCGATTGTAAATATGGCACTTTTTGTTTTTCATCACGTACTTCGATTGCAGATTTGATAAGAGCATCTAATTTTCGTTGCTGTCTTCTTACAATAGATACGAATCTGCAGACCCAAGCGCTTGTTCATCAAAATCGAATCAGAAGAAAAGCTGTTTTGTTGTCGTCAGAGGCAATGCGTGGATGTATGCTCTAAAAAGATATGGACAAGACCGATGAGAACGAAAAGCGATGAAACTAAATATAAAATCTATTGATATATCTGTAAAATCGTTGTGATATAGATTTTGTGTTGTCATTAGTGTGAGACGCTATCGACTCTGTACGCTATTTCGAGTTGAAGTTAAATTTTTGCTGAAAAACTTTTGCTTTTAGGCGATTAAAGAACGCCGCATAGAAGTACAAACAAATAGCGTTTTGTTTCGCATGCGCTTCAATGATGAACGAACTAAGAGAGATAGTATCTCAACTGAACTTGCTTTGCGTATAACTAAAGTAGCTAAATTAAAGCAACGATATGAAGTTTATGCTATAACGTTAAATACAGACACATCCAATGAAGACAATGCTTTAGCACAAGCTCAATATGTTATTAAGGTATATGTTTTTCTTTGCTTTCTTGATAATTGTCAATAGATTTTGTCTTTTTATTCAGTATAGTCTGCACAAAGCAAAGAAGATTTATTACAACAAGGTGATCAATTAGAAGCACTTATTATTAAAGCTGAAACAGAATTACGTGCTCTTGAAAATACAGTACAAATTTTAAAATGGAATAATACCGATGTGAAAAATAACTTTGAAAAATTGAATGAATCTAGTAATTATATAGATGTCAGCGATTAATTCCTGTTCTATTTTTATCATTCATAGGCCCAGAAATAAATGAAATGAAAGAACTTGAAGAACATTTACGTGCTGTGACAGAACAAGTTAAAACTCGCCGAAAATTACTAAAACATTTTAGTGAATATCGTGATTCAGTAAGATATAGCTTGAGAAAGAAACTATCGAAAATCTATGTTTTCAAACATAATTCATTCATTTATATTGAAACCAGATAGCTCATACTGATTTGGCGGTGTTTGAAGAAGAAATAGAACGAACCAAAATAGATATTAAAAAGAAACATCAGATAGAAATCAAACTTCAAGATGAACTTCAAGAATATCTTGTTAAAATTAATCGTGCTGATCAAAATGTTCGTAGCGAAGAAAGTTAAAATCATGTTTCTTTTGTAATCAATTCGATTTTTGAATCTTAGATCAAACGTTTACAACAAACTATTCGACGACAACAAGATATTATACAATATGAACTTGATATTGATGTTCGCTTACAAAATGAGACTTATAAAAAAATTGAACAACAACTTCTATCTCTATGCTTGACTATAAACGATGAAAGTCTCGATGATATTGTTGAAAAACTATCCACTGATCAATCTTTTAAAATTGCCATCAAACCATCACTGACACCACCGAAAAAACAACACGATAGGCCTGAAAAAAAATCTACATCATCATTATCTAATATAAATATTGTAAATATTTCTATTGATAATAATTCAAGATCAACGACAAGCCAATCAACAAGATCATCAACGAAGAATCGATAAAATATTTGATGAAACATTTTTCATATTATTTTTCTCTCGTGTTCAATTAAACAAATATTTACAATAATTTCCCATGCTAAACATTTGTTTCATGTTTGTCTGTATCCCATAAAAATCATAATTTTGAATGTAAGTGATCTAAAAATGCATATGATTACATACTATTATCAATAGAATTATTAATTCAGTTGAAAACGCTACCTGTTCAGGTAGGGCTCTATGCAGCATAATGACAAATAGACACTTTTAAACAATTGAACTCAAGATTTCCCATGTTTGGTTGGGTGTGCACTCCTGAATATAGATTCGCGTCATAAGAAAACAATACAAAAGCGAACTGCATAAGGTAACGAGTAATATGCTCGGAGCTATATGAGCACTAATGGAAGAAAATATTTTTCAGCCCTCTAACGAGCGTATAGGAGGGGTGAAGAGAATCAATTCAATTATGCACTACTCTTAAGAGCTATGCAAAGCTAATTCTCACCGGGTGTCTTATGAATTGATCATTGGCTAGAAAATAGTCTCATAGACAATTTTATTTTTAATCATAATCGTTCCGAATACTTCAAGAGAGTTTGTTTTTATTTGTACACATACATTTATTGGATGTCATAAGAATTCAAAGAGCTAAAGCTCACGTTTTGTTTTGAAGAAATACAAACCAATTATGCCTGAAACAATAGAATTTGATACGATGATTGACATAAAACACTATGTCAATAATTGTCAAACGTTATCAAGTTTTCAAAACTACATTAAATCTAGAATGGTATAATAATAGCAACGAAGAAATATCAAATTCGAATTTTAATTTGTTTTTTCGTGCTCCCAAAAGTAAAAAACTAACAAGAAGAAATCTGTCTAAAGTAACAGCGATAAAAAAAAAGCTTCTTTTTATCTTCTTAATTACATTTTATTGATAGAATAAAATAGCATACCCAAATAACATATAATTCAAGATTAAAATCTGACTTAGACAAGAAAAAGTATTTATTTTCATTCAACATTTCTCTAAAAACCAATCATTAATATTTTCGTACCAAATACGTTGTTTATTTGTATTTAAACGATAGCATAATTCACAGAATCGATATGGATCAACATCTTTGGCTTGATAATAGGCATCATAATAACGCCTCCATGCATGATATTTACCATATAGTGTTCGATTTGTAGCAATCAAATTTAATGCTACGCTCAGTTCTTTATCGGAGGCATAATCATCAACATGAACAAATGAATTGGGTGGAGCAACACGTGCAAAACTTTTTTGTTCGGGCCCACTTACAATTGGTATAGCACCTACAGAAAGTGTACGCCAGAATTTTTCTGTTATATAATCTGTACATGACTGAGATTCAAAAGCAAGATAAAATTTCGATGTTGATAAATAAACGTGTTCACAATTCGATTCGCGACCACATTGAATCGAAGAGTGAACATTTGCATTTAAAGAATATGACTGGGTCGATGAAATACATTTACCAAAGGCTACTATTGGATAATGTTGGCGTAATGATTGAAATTTTGCAAGACGCTTTTTTGGTTTACAATTGGACACAAACCTAAATAGAAAAAGAAATGTTGAATTCATTTGGGATCAGGAAATTTAATTGAGAAGCAGAATCAAACCATGTCTACTGAGCTGAATAGTAATTTCATCAATTTTAAAGTAATACAAATCACAGTGGGTTAGAATGTTTGTTTTCTTGTGATTAATTTGTTCTGAATATCTTCCGATTGAACAAATTCAATGAGTAGCGATTCAGATTTTTCGAATAGCGCTCGTGTTGTATTGTATAACTCTATACTATGGTTTCCGCCAATCATTTAATTAGTATTTTTACATGAAGAACAAGAGAGAATTTTCACAAAGATGTTTGATGTGCGACATGAATAAATTAAACATAATTTGTTGTTTAGATCGGATCATCAGTGTTGCTCACTATTGACAAGAAACTAATCGTGATAGCAAACGATGAAGCAAGTAGCGAAGAGGTGAGCGAAAATCAATAGAATTGATGACGTGTAAAGTCGCAAGTCTGCACAATTATTTTTGGCAATCAATTCTTCTGATAGCATGAATAGGAAACTTACTGCTCAAATATTTTGAATCTAAAGCAAAATGCTTCTGTCAGCCAATGGAAATGTTAAAATACTAAATTAAATCTCAATTTTAGAACATGTTACTAAAATTGAATAAATTTTGAATGGCAAAACTTTTAAATCAAATTTCATTTCGAAAAACATTGCAGCTATGATAATAAATATAGACTGTGCGGCTCGTAGTGTACCAACTATTGCTTTATCTGACTTTTACACAATGATAGATGTTCTAGTTCTGTAATCTTCTTCCATGCAATGTGCACTTTCTTCATATGATTGAACTCTTTAACTCATAGTAATTCTATCCACCAGTCTATTTCGTTAAAGAAACTTTTTTTTATAAATTGCACGAGCAAAATATAGTTTGATCTCTCTAAGCAAAGAAATGATTTTGTTCCTTGGCAGAAATAATCATTAGTTAATGAAGACGTTTAGCTGAAATTTCTCAGGATGTTTGTCTGTCGATAAGCTTTTACACAACAACTAATTAATTGGCTATTAAGAAAAACAACTGATGGTGTGAGCTTCATCTTAGACCACATCTTCTAGTTATGTTTTCTTAAAATTTTACCAGACTGCTTGATTATATCTTTTCTTGAATTCTTTATCAATCCATGAACTTAATTTTTCCATTGGCCATGGATTTTCTTTAACAACTGTAATACCATAAGCAGCTAAAGATGCTTCAGCACTAGTTCGATATGTTATTGTCCAATTGAATTTATATTTATTAATTGCCGCTGTATTTTCATTCGGTTCATCATGCCATAAAAGCCATATTTGTTCGGAATTTCTAGTCATTTCTGTGAGTTGCTTGAAATCTAAATCTCGTTTGTGCATTAAAAGTACATCAGCATCTTCTTCGTGCTTTTCATCACATGTATAATCACTAGCACAGCAAATAAAAGATGATTCATCTTCGATATTTGTTCAGCTTACCAATTTTTGTAAGGACACGTTTTGCCAAAGATTTGTTCTTTTGAATGGGAACAAAATCGTGGACGTTGAAAGACATGTGTAAATTCAAGTATTAAATAAGATTTCGATGGAAATTTGTTATTCGTCAACGGTAAAACCACTTTTTCTTTTCTATCAATTGCTTTCGCATCGTCAATTAGTTTTAATTCTTCTTTTCTTGCAAAATAATATGAAATACTTTTGTTAAGATCTTTTGGATTTAAAACATCAATTGGATAAATAACATCAATAAATGAAAATTCAACATTATCGTTATGTTCAATCGATGAAAATGCGAACGAATTCAATTTCGCTTTATTCAATAACACGATGCTTACAAAAAAACAAAATACCAATAAAGTCCATTTAAACTGAAGTAAATAATTTCGATAAGGAAGACTTCGTGATCGTCTTGTATGAATACGTTTCTCCATTCTTCTGTTCGGTGGTATACTTTATTTTTACATAGATGTTAATGTGCGACCGTAAAATTTAATCCAACAGAATAAATACTCGACATAGAGAAAGCTTATTGTTCTGAAGAAGTACGACTAAACAAAGAAAAACAAATTGCATGATAAATATAGATTTAAAATTCAAGGATTTTCATGAAGTAAGAGTCATATATAAACTCTTTGAAGACTTTGTTTTACTGATTAATATATATATATATATATATATATATATCTCGAAGGGTGATCATATTTGATAATTCAATTTCAAGATGCATACTCTCCACTATTTATTTTTCGTCGAAAAAAATTGCAAGTGTTTAACGATGACAAATATCTTCCTTAAGATAAATGCTGAAAATAATTCTTATATAGTTTTCTGCCGCTCGAATTCAAGAAGACGAGAATTTCTTAGATCACATTTTAATTCTCTAATTTATAAAGCTACTTCTATAATAAAATATGCGCGATAATACTTACAAAAGTGACTTTTACATATTCGAAAAATATGCAAGAATCTTTTTGTTAATATCTTGTTATGCAGAATGTACATCGAAAATATTCTTTCTAGATATTTTCCAGATGTGCAACTTATATTATTGTGTCTTAACGTAATTTTCATCATGAAAGTAGATGGTTTATCAACAACTGTAAAAACCTTCAAACACAACAAATGATTCAAGTATTTTAACGCACTATCAGGATGACTTATCTGTAACTTGAGGTTTAATAGTGAAATTCTATTCAAGAAATTATGAAAGCTTTATCTACTTCAAAAAGCCAAAGCACTAGAAGACTTGCGAATAGACTCAACGATAGATTTCTGTATGATCATGCAAAAGTGAGAACATAAATAAAAACGTGGGATGTATGAAATACATGCTGTAATCCAAAGCAAAGAAAAATTCCTGGCAATATCGCATTCTTCATCTGCGAGATTTATTTTTCTTTGGCAAGCTATTACAAAGCATTTTCATCGTGAGTCGATCATATGCATTATTTGTTTATCTAATTAAAATGAAAATAACGTTGTAGCTTAACAAAGAAAAATAAATACAGCTAGTATGATTAACATATATGCAATAATTTATAGATGTTCTAATGCATAGGAAAAACGCCCAGCATTAATATTATTTTTCTTATCATGCTTGACTACAATTTAATAGAAAGCTGTGATTATGTTATTATATAAACTATGGAAAACGTTTTAAATTTAAGAATGATATTTACTACGATGCGATATCTCGAACGATTTCTCTATTGGAAGATTGATTTCTTTAATATAGTGGCTAAAAGATCGTTGAACTGTGCTCAACGCCTGAAATGTTCCGACTCCTTAAACAATTCAATAGTTAAATTATAATATACAGTCGAAAAAGTAACTTCAGTAGCTATAGTGGGAGACGGTTACTTGCTCGCGCTGCTACTCATAGCGAGCAAGTGTATATACGAGCAACTGACCTAGACTCGCTATAGCAGATGAAGTGTAGCTTAATGCGGATTACTCATGGAGATTTAGCTTTCTAAGGAATCTTAAGTGTGATATAGCAGATGAAGTGTAGTTCAATGCGGATTACTCACGGGGATTTAGCTTTCTAAAGAATTTTAAGAGTGATAGTAAACGTATTCTACTTCGAAGACATTCTTTCTAGCTTTCATTCTAGAGAAATCACAGTGAATCATCGAATAATCATAATAGTAATAAAACTTTTGTAGAGATAAATTTGTTTCCACATTTTTTTTTTTATAAAAGAGGAATATGTAAGATTTATTTTCAACGCCTATTAAACGAGAAAAAATGTCCTTGTCGCACTCTGAATATCTACAATGTAATCTGAGACAATCGAAGGTAAACTACAACAATCAAACATTTAGAGGTATTCTCTACAAACTGATAAGATTCAAGTATATTTTGGACAATTGAGTCTGTGTAAAATAATCGTAGCATTTGTATATGAACTCTAGCAATTATTCTAAATTGTACAATTATCAATTGAACTACATATAACAATTCTATACGAAGCACTCAAGATTTCGATTATATTCTCGCACTTTGTCACAACATCAGAATCTTTTTAAAAAGAAATAGGAATAAAAGCAAACATTATTCATTTAAGTAAAATATAACACCGTAAGAAAGTACATTTTTCGAATGGATGAAGAGCATCAATGATATTCTATCCAAGCACACGTCATTTATAACTTGATACTATCAAAATAACGATAGACAAAAGAAACACGATGAAATGATACACGTATTAATGCAAAGAAGAGTTGTCCAGAAAGAGAAACAACAGAAAAAGATATTCACGGCGCATTATCGGTATTTCTGGACATTACTTTTCATCAGCACGTACCACTTGTAGCCTGTTTTTTTTTCTTAGTAACTCGTGCAAAGCGCCATGTAGAAAATTATGAATAATTTCAATCAATTTTGAAAAATATACTTTCTTTGGCATCGGATTCATAATTTCATTTCCTACAACTAACTCTATTTAGTACGAGTCTTTTATTATATACAGAAATCTTATTTGATTATTACACTACAAATAGATAAGTATATAACGAAGCTGTTTATAAGGATTAGTGTATTCTAGTACTCTGAAGAAAAACTTGGCAAATTGTTGTTATTATCATCGCTAGCAAATTTGCTTAACTCTTAAAAAAAGCTATACGTTTACAGCTTTTCTATTAGAATAGGAAAAATAATATGGTAATGAAAAATCCGGCCAATCAATCAATAAAAACTTTGTTCATCATTTTTTGAAGTAAATTCCGTATGAAAAAGAAATAATCACGTGCATAGATCAATAGGTTATTGTTGCGTTATTTTTCTTTTTAAGCGAAAAAACATTTTCTGCAGTATTTTTGAATAAATGAGTAGTACATTTGATCTTGTCGAAACTGCGACTTATATACGCTTAGATAAAATGAAATTGGAAAAAATAATCCTTGTTTTTGTCGTTCTATATAGGTAAAGTAAACGACGAAAGTACATACCAATCAATTGCAAACGATAAAAAAGTTGAGCCTCAACCACGACGGCCAATATATTTTTTTGTTTGCTTTGCTGCATCTGCTATGGCATTTTTTTTCCTTTCTTTCACATAAGATTTTTAGTCGTTCGTGGTGAACTAAGTATTTTTCTTTTTCATTCAATCAATGCCATAACTGACGCAGGCATTTTTACTCTTGTTCTGCTAGTTTATATTACTTTTCTTTTTCTTTTTCTTTTCTTCTGTAGATGATTATTCAACTAGTCACGTCGGATATGAGAATCAAATAGCAGTTTTTTCTTCATCCTACTGATTGCACACGTATATGACAGCGGTTAGACTCTCATTTACAAACCGCCAATGAAATAAATTATACAAAATACGACATTTTTTTTTTGTTTTTTTTTGCAATAAAATATGAATAAAAAAACAAATCGCAAGCAATGGCTTTTTATATGGGAGCCTGTTAAAATATTTGTTTAGAAAACAGATAATCAGACACGGATGTTCTGCACTGCACATATGTATATATATAAAAAGCAATAATGTATTGTTCATATGATGAGATTAGTTTGTTCCTTGAGTTTTTTTATCATTTTGCTTTGATTTATTATGGATGTGGGTGTTTTTCGATGCACCTGTATCTTCATCTTCTGTATCACTTTTACCACCATGACTACTGGGCAGCATGAAGGGCGATTGTGATCGATGAAGTAAATGTAAAACACCTGTCTTTTCGAATAAACCGATGAAGCTGTGTATATATTCTTTGCTTCGATCTTCCCAACGTTCCATGAATGTTTTTGATTCTTCTTCATATGTACGAAATTTGGATTTCACTGTATCAATTTTTGATTGAAATTCTAATTGATTCTTTTTTAGAAAACCAACATTTAAATCTTGTGCAGAATAACCACGAGCTAAATTCCGTCTAACATACATATCATAGTCACGAACAAGACGGCAGATAATATCGGATGTTGATACACCATCTGTACGTTGAGTTGCAACAAACATACCACGCGCCTAAACAAACACATTTACGTTTATTATCATTACTTATATAATCATCATTGAACAATAGTATAAATAGTACTAATGAAATCCTTTTTGCACACTACGGAAATGCAAGTATTAGAGTCTTGACGTTTATGTCAAATTATTAGCTCAATGGAGTGACTAGTTAAAGTCGCGATATAGATTGATTCGATGGTTTCAAAACAAATTCCGATGATATCACATTCTTCAAATCAAGGACATTACTAACGTAAGTTCAAGGGTAACTCCGTATGCCCTACTATAGGACAAATCTATTATCAGTCAGATAACTTCATTGTGAATCAATGAACTTTATACAACAAATGTAATATTGCAAGTGACCCAATACGATCATCATATCATTATAAGACGAATTCCCACGAGTCATGCCATCAGAAAAATCCAGTTCGTGCAATTTATTTACATAAGCGCCTGTTTTAGTAACAATGAAAACAAATTACTAAGAATTTCAAATCATATTAGAGATATCATGACACGCAAATAAGAAAAGAAACACAAATTGCTTTTAGCTCTCATTTCAAAAATGTTACTATTCTATGTATTAAATATTAAAATGGATTTGTTTTTACATCTAATTTGTATTTTATTTATAAGTGTTAGCAAATAGTAGACAGTATTGTAATTAAATTCATCTTAAAGTATATGCCCCGAAGAGTATTACACAAATCACTGGGGGACATTTTTATTAATTACCGGAAGATATTTTAAACCTAGACACGAATGTTTTAGATTCATAAGATTACGCTGTTCAGAAAAACAAATGATTAAACGTCATGCAGAGAGATTAAAGTATGATTTGATAGTATAAAATTTCGAAAAATAAAGTGTTTTTCGAAAAGATTATTGGCTTTAACTTTTGCCTATGTTACAAGAGCTTTTATGAATATTCTATTTATTTAAAAAAAAAGAAAAATATACCCGACTCATAGCAATTATCTCGCTTACTTTAATATGTTGATAAATATCGTCACTTCCTTCAGCTCCATATGGAATTTCATCATGTGCAACAAAATCAATTTTGTTGTGCGTTAAAAAGTCATCATCAAGTACCCATGGTGCATCAATAACAACTTCATCGACATAACGACAGTGACGAACACTTTCATAACGTTCAGCTTCATCCATCACTGTTTTACCTTTTTTACTATGTGTTAAATCATCATTGCAAACACCAACGAGAAGATAAACATTTTTAAAAATATTTTTTGCTTGCATCAATTGTCGCGCATGACCAGCATGAAATAAATCATAAATTCCTAAATGAAACATTCATTTCGTTATATAGCTATTAGGAAATCGACAAAAATTTACTTACCATCTGCGTAGATGCGGACTTTTCTTGGTGCTGTACCGTTTTTGGCCATGTCTAAAGTAATTTGAGTTGAATAGTCACAATTTTCTCGTTCTTTAATTGCTTTTTCTTCATAAGATAGAGGTGCTGGGCCAATGTTTAGATCGACATCAATACCCATGTTTTTACTAAAGTGCATTGAACGCTTTTCATTTGTTCCTGTACTTGCTTTTGATAATGTTGCTGACTCAAGTTTAGATGGAGCTTCATTTGTTGCCGGACTGTTATCGGCTGAGGCATCATGCCATTCATCTGCAGTTGAACCAGGTGTTGTTGGTAATGGCGTATTATCCATGTGAATGATCACAAATAGAAAATCGAATTAATGTTATTGGTTCTTTCTCGGGACATACGAAACACGCAGAATGAAACAGTTATACAAGACTAACACGGTTTATATTGATTAACTGAGACAAACTAACGAATTCGAAATAATTAATAATTAAAAAGTCATTTCATTTAGTTAAAATTAAGATTTCGAAGAAATAAACATGAAAAAGTGCTTTTTATGTAATAGATGGCAGTAGATTCAAGAAAATTGAAGATAATACGGATTTTCACTTGTTTTATTTGAGAATTAGTTTTTAATAATATCAGAAAATAAAAATTGATGAAAAAAAATTACATTTCAACCAACTATCTGTTTTTAAATACGGACTGTCCTACTTATGCTTCTGCCCTCCTTAATCCTTAAACGGTGAGTCATAAGATTTTCATTTTATTCTTCATGAATTTTTTTCTTTTCCTGTTCTTTAAAAAGAATATGCAAAAAAGAAGTTCAATACAGTTTTGATTGAATGCCGATCTGTCCACAATAGAGTTCACTCATTCATTTGATATGATCGCGATGTGACACTTCCGTGCGTTGATCTATATTGCACATACTAAGTAAATATTGGATGTAACGTAGGCGTATGCACGTGATGATTCGTATCTTTGACGAACCATTTGACACTTGTCTCTATGTTTTACAACAAATTTCATGTGAATCGACTGTAGTAGTATGTGCTTGAACTTATGTATGAAATTTTATTGTAGATTTTATTTTTTATAAAATTCATCTTTTGAACCATGCCAATAACACAAAACAGCAATGCAACAACGCCTAAAACTGATGTAAGATAAACTGTTAAATTATTATTGTTTGTTAATGATATGTCTTTTCATGGATACGGTCCATTAGCAATCATAATGCGGTTTTTTTTCTTTTCTACTCCGATAGACTGAAACAAGAAAAAAAGAAAAGACAAAAAGGAAGTACAAGATGAGTACACGTCGAATGATAACGAATGAGAAAAGAGGAAGAAAAAAAAAGAGAAATGGCTAGTTCGAATGTTAAGAATAGGAAGAATATTTCCAACAAAATAACTCTTAAACTTAGATAAACAGAAAGATATTAACATGATGTCATCATCATTGTCCGATGTTGACGATCAGCTAGTTACAACGAATGCTTGTTCTTATTACATTCCTTCAAAGCACAAGGATAATCAATTACAGCATAATTCAAATCCAGAATCGAATTTTTTTTGTGTGGTTAAAAACATGCAACATTCATTGTTTATTTCCTCGAGAATAATGAATGTATCAAGGCCAGGATATGCAAGAACATCATTCAATATTATTCCTTCTATGCCACAAGACATAAAAACCAATGTTAATGTATGGTGCCAGCTGGTGTTATTTTTTTTATAGAAAATTATTTGAGTTTTTGTCAAAAGAAAGCACAATTCCTTGATGGATGACTCTAGCAGCTCAGCAATGAATACGGTAAAGATTTCTTCTGCTAAAATAAAAGCAGCCGTTGTGGTTCCTACGGTCAATGTTAAGTCGACATCGGAGAAAAAAGGAAAACCGGAATTTGTTGTATCAACAAGCTATCCGGATTCGAATGCCCCATTAGGGGTATCCGTTTCTAAATTTAGCAAAAATCATCTTGTGGTGAGACAATGAATAATTCTTTTACATAGACAGACATTTCTTTATAATAACAATTTATTGAATATATGTTTATTTTTAATTTTACTAGTCATCTCAACATCGTTTATTAATCAAAGGTGGTCGAGTTGTCAATGATGATGGAACACAACTTGCAGATGTTTTTATTGAAGAAGGTATTATTAAGTAAGTTATTTGTTTGTTTGTATTTTTCTATTTTATTTATTTTATTTTGTTTTTAATAGGCAAATTGGTCTTAATCTAGTAGTTCCAGGTGGAACTAAAACTATTGATGCTACAGGCAAACTTGTTATGCCAGGTAATATTAATAAGAATAATTATATTTTTTAAGATAAATTCTTTTTTTTTCTTAGGCGGTATTGATACACATACTCATTTTGAATTACCTTTTATGGGTACAAAATCAGTTGATGATTTTCTTACTGGTACTAGAGCAGCTATAGCTGGTGGAACAACAACTATACGTATGTATTTCGATAGCGACAAAAAAAACCTTAAAAACGCATTGTCTTTGTGTCTATTGTTAATTCATTTAAATCACACGAAGGATTCTCGTAAGCAAATGTTTGTAAAGGATTTAATTTTTGTTCTTCTTGTTGCTGTAATTCGAGGATTGCGAAACGTCGATTTGATGCGAGAAGTGTCGTGCTATTGTGATAGGCATTATTTATAAATGATATTGATGAATTTGATCGAGAATATTTATTAATAATCATGGACTGCAATGAATCTTCTTGTTTAAATTTTGTTGGATTAACACGAGAACGTTTATAACAACAAATAACTGCTATTATTATAATTAAAATAATTACGAATACGATTGATATGATAGTACCAATAGTAACCAAAATAATGTCGGCCATAGAATATCTAATAAAATATGAAAGTCAACGAAATAAATAATAAAAATAGATCTATTTTTATGAGTTCGACGATTATGTGTCAAATCATAATATAGATTTGTTTTCTTTCGTTATTTACACTAAGATTATCATCGAATATTGTTTTGCTCACTTTTGAATATGTTCTCTGGATCGCCTGACCTGCCGAATTAGCTTCCAAAGTCTAACAAACGAGCATACAAAAAGAATCTCTTTTCACGCAATAATTGATATTTTCGTCGATGATGATGATGATGATGATAATATCATGAAGAAAGACGATAGTTGATGAAAGATGTGTGAATCATTCATTATACGTGCACATTTATTCAAGTGAACGTGCAATCAATAAGAATAATACAATTGAGTAGAAAACAAAGTGTACTACTCCCGAGAAAGAACGAATACCGCTGCCTTTCGGCTACATTGTCGTATTAAGTGTGGTTTAACAGTAAATTAACTAAACTAATATTTTCTGTGTACTTAATAATAGTGATGGCTCTAGATGATGGACGAGCGATCTGGCATAGAATATTCTTATTCAATTATTTGAGCTCTCCATATACGCGAGTTAACTAGAACAGTCGATGTATAGTATCACAATAGGATTAGATATGCTATAGAGCGGATGATTTAAGTCCATCAAGCTGCAGTGATTTTTTCAGTGCCATTCAGTAGATGAAAGTATCCCTTGCTCGAATACTTTAATTTGTTAATACGTGTAAAATTATCACAACAGTTCATTTTTCAAGATCATTTTAGACAAAACTGAACAGATATATGTTTCATTTAGCTATGATTCTTTACGAAGGTTATGTTTTTCCAATGACCTTTTTTCGCATTGATATAAAAACGAATTTTATCAAGAACGACATTTGAAGATTACCAAGTAAACTCGATGACTTGAAAATCAACTATCTAGATTTCTCATTCAATCATAAGAGATTTCTGGGTTTCGTTTGATTGTTCATACTCTGTTATGTCACTTAAGAGAAGTATCTGGAACTTTTTTGTCAAAAAAAGTTCGAGATACTACGAAAATATTTCTATGACTAATGTCACTTACATTAGTTATTGTTTAACGATCAGCCTTCTTAACAAGGGTCTCTAGGATTCATCATCGGTCAAGAGATCTCTAATAATTTAACACATAGAAATTAGCTTAAGGAAATGTCATCAAATTGAGATAGATGCGTTGCCATTCTGTAAATTCACATCACTTACCAATTATTTGGTCAATATTATACATATGATCAAGTTTTTTTTCTTCTTCTTTCCTATAATATTACATCATTTTATTCTTGAGCTCAGTCTAAATAAAATGATTAATTTCTTATCAGTCTTTCAATTATTATCCGTCAGTAGGAAGAAGATTACATCACACTATAATACCATTTCATATTGGCTGTAATGCATACTAATTTCTTTTTTTCCTCTCACGTTATTTCTAGTTGATTTTGTGATTCCATCAAAAGAACAATCGCTTCTTGAAGCTTATGCACAATGGCGTGAACGAGCTGATGCTAAAGTTTGTTGCGATTATGGTTTACATGCTGCTGTTACAACTTGGAATGAACAAGTTGCTAAAGATATGGAAACGCTTACCAAAGAAAAAGGTTTCTCGTTTAGATATTAATTGAAAAATGTATTGAAAACTATCATATGTGTTTAGGAATTAATTCATTTAAAGTTTTCATGGCATATAAAGGCGTTTTTATGTTACAAGATGATGAAATATTTCAAGTATTTAGTAAATGTCGTGAACTTGGTGCTATTGCTATGGTACATGCTGAAAATGGTTCAGTAATAACGGAATTAGAAAAAGAAATGTCAACATTAGGCATAACAGGACCTGAAGGCCATCTTCTTAGTCGACCAGAAAAAGTAAAAATATTTATTGAGAAAAATAGATTACTTCCTATACGAAGACTTTACTTATTTTAGCTCGAAGCCGAAGCTACTAATCGTGCTATTACAATTGCTGAACAGACTCGGTAAAATGCTCTAATTAATTATTATCTTGAATAAAACTGTTTGATTTTATTTTTAAAGATGCCCACTCTACGTTGTGCATGTAATGAGTAAAACAGCAGCTGAAAAAGTTACTGAAGCTAGATTAAAAGGTAGATAATAGTTTCCTTTTTTTAAAATTAATATTTGTTCGTTGAATAATTTCTGGTGATTTATTTTTCAATTAGGTCAAGTTGTATTTGGCGAACCGATTGCAGCTAGTTTAGGAGCTGATGGGTCGCATTATTTTCATAAATGTTGGCGCCATGCAGCTGCTCATGTCATGTCACCGCCATTGCGGGACGATGCAACAACTGGTCCTTATCTTATGGATCTCCTGGCTAAGTGAGATATGTCTAGTTAAATATATGCACTTGAATATGATTGATCTTTTTAGTGGTTCATTGTCAGCAACTGGTACTGATCATTGTACGTTTAATGCAAATCAAAAGGCTCTTGGCAAAGATGATTTTCGAAAGGTAAAAAACAGAAAACAAAACTATTGATTATTTAAATAAGTAGAAATAAATATTTCATTAGATTCCAAACGGTGTCAATGGTGTTGAAGATCGTTTAGCTGTTATTTGGACTAAAGGTGTCGAAACGGGAAAACTTGACGTCAATCAATTCGTTGCTGTAACAAGTGCAAATGCTGCACGTATATTTAATATTTATCCTAAGAAAGGACGTATATCTGTTGGTTCGGATGGCGACTGTGTTATTTGGGATCCAGAAGCCAAAAAAACTATTTCAGCTGCAACACATAATCAAGCATGTGATTTTAATATTTTTGAAGGTTTACATTGTAAAGGATTACCAATAGTAACTATTGTTGCTGGTAAAATTGCTTATGAAAATGGACAAGTTTGTAGAATAGTTTTTAAGATATTTACATTGCTATATTGAAATATGTATGTGTGATAGTTAAATGCTGTACAAGGTTCAGGAAAATATCTTGATACAACATGCTTTGCTGAGTATGTTTATCAAAAATTGAATAAACGTGAGCAAATTCGTGAACAGGTAGATAAGCTTTTTATTTTTATTTTTCTGAAACATTCATCATGGATATGAATTTAGAAAATACAAGAACAGAAGATTGAACGTGACCCATATGCAGGTGAAGTATTAGATATTAGTAAACCAACGTCGGGTGCCGATACAAAATCGAAACTACAAGGAAATGCTAGTAGTGGTGAGCCTGCTGCTGCTTCCGCTGGTTTTCATAGTAGACCAGCAACTCGCGCTGGTCCGTATGAAAAAAATAGTGTTGTTTTTTTCATACGGAATTTTATTACTTTATTTGATTCTTTATTTCAGGTGGAAGGAATCTATTAGATTCGAGTTTTTCATTATCAGGTAAATATGTTCGATTTCAAAATTATGTTTAACACAATATATTTAGGTGATCAATGGGATGATCGAAATCAACGAAAAACAACTCGAGTTCATCAGCCACCTGGTGGACAATCGAAAGGTATGAAACTTACAGTTAGTTTCCTTTTTGTAACGATTCATTTTATTTTATATGTTTTAGGTTTATGGTAACCTATTTCCATATTTACAGTTGGCTTTTTCATTTGACTAATTGTTTCCAAAATCAAATAATCGAGTTCTCTCTCTCTCTCTCTCTCTCTCTCTTTTCCAATGTAGTGTGGAATTTAGACTCAAAAGGCAACTAATGTTGAGTGATCATCTCAAGACATCGATTTTCTATCTCATATTGTTTCCAAGTATTCACATATTTTTTTTTATTCTTAATAGGGATATTGATTCGCTTGCTTTTTCAGTTACACTTGTGGGTTTTTTTTGTTCTTTTCAGTATTCTATCACGATTCCTTTGTGTTTATGTGATCACGTATTTTTCTTTTGTACAACAATGTACTTTTATAATTTTACTTTTTTCCCTATCGTGCTAATCCATCGATTTCATTCCAATTTGTTTTTATTATTTCTCGCAAATTCTTTTTTTGTGCACTAATTTACACAACGTATTAAGTAAAAATTCCTTTTGTTCTTTTTCTTCCATGATAACATTCCTTTTAAATGGCACTTTTATGAAGTAAATAAATAGATATACTCTCGAAGTTATGACGAAATCCAATTTCACAATAACGTACTTAATAAACTTTGTGATCGTAAATATCATTCTTAATGTCATTCAATAAATTACCACTTTGGTACTGCTATGAATATTTTTCAAAGTAAACGTTCATGAAAAAAACATCAAATTTTCGTAGCAAAATCTATTTTTTAAAAGAGAATTGCAAAAGATAACAGATCGTCAGTATGTTTTCTGACATAAATAAGGAAATAGTATTTCTAATATCTTCAAAAATATGCTTTATTGAGTAATTTTTTAATTAATGATATGTATTTACAGAAAAAGTCGTAAAATTATCATCGTTATCCTATTTAAGAAAATAAGGTACTTGAACTTGAACTAATAGTTGATTGGTTAAAATGCCGCTAATACATTTTTATAACCAAAATTTAGGTAGAATACTATTTGTGAGAGTAGCTGCCGAATTCGATTTCGAATATAAATGCAAAAAAACACTTACTTTTTCTCACGCCGCCATGAGAAAAAGATTTATTTTTTATTAATTATGAAATTTATAAATTGACTTCGCTCCCATTTATAATTCAGGATAAAGATATAGATTTAGTTTCTATAAAATATAAAATTTATACATTGACTTGGGTGTGTACGTGCGCAGACGCGTATGTCCGTCTTTCCTCATACCCACACTTGCCATGTTGTGTGCGTGTGTGTAGATCCCCGTGTTCGCCTTTTCTCACACTCACACCAAATTTTCAGCATAAGATAGCAATATACGTAAAGAAATAAAATTGAATATTACGAGCGATGCCAAACGGGAAAATCTGAATATAACGTCTCTCTAACTTACACCAAAAACAATTACTCCGTCTTCAAATAAACCACGGTGATTACAGAAGTTTGACTATGCTATATATAAACAACTCGAAAAACAGGGACACTTTTGTAAATAGCGCTAAAGCAACACACAAATTGAACTGAGACCCAGGTTGAGAAATCCCACATCGAATCCGATAGAAACTTGATAGTATCCTACCATCCGACAGAATCTTATAGGATTCCGAGTCGAGGAATTGACGTCGGAACCCATTGAACTTCCAATAACATCCAACGGTGTTTCTTTGAAATTCATAGGAATCCGATGATAGGTCTGTAGGATCCGACAAAATCCGATAAGATCCTACTGGATGCGAATCGGTTCCGATTGGTGCCTACTGTTGGATTGCTTGATCTGGGGAGCTCTTAATCATACCACAGGTGAAAAAAGCCTCGAACCGTCACGAGCACAGCATCGACGGTTAGAAACAGCAAATATCTACATACATGATTTTTTGAGAACACGCAGCTAGAAAAGCACAACAAAGAAATGTGCTAAGATCATGCAGCTAACATATGAAAAAACCCAGGCTGATCAAAACGGACTCGTTTACGGCCTGTTTGTCGGCGGTAAACGATGTCAAAACTGTATCTTTACGGCAGTAAATAGGCCGTATTTGCCCGTAATGCCTGGCGCAGTAATACGGCACCATAAACCGGACTGAATTTTCATGGTTTACGGCTGTTTGTGCTCCGTACTCTCATCATAATACGATCCGTATTACTGCGCCAGATATTACGGCAAAATTTCGCCCGTAAAATAGTCGTAAAGTAACCGTCAATGGCCGTATACGGACCGTACTGTTCGACCTGGGAAGGTACACTTTCACATTAACAGCAAACCGTAACTGAGCTAATATATCCGACATCGAATACAAGATAAATTACAGAGGCATTGACACTGGACTTTCATGGCCATATTCGGATTCCGACCAAACATAAAATACGTATCCCAATACGTCATTAAAAAAACTCACTAACGATTCCGCTAATTTATAAATTTTATAATTTATAAAAACTAAATCTGTATCTTTATCCTGAATTATAAATGGGAGTGAAGTCAATTTATAAATTTTGTAATTTATAAAAGCTAAATTTATATCTTTATCCTGAATTATAAATGAGAGTGAAGTCAATTTGTAAATTTTATAATTTATAAAAAGGAAATCTAAATCATTCCTAAATTTAAAATTCACTGCCAGTTAGATGATCTATTTCTTTTGCTTTGGGGTGGTTTCTAAATGGTCATTATTTTTTTTCATTTATTTTCGAATTGTGAATAGTTATTCAGATGTCAATTTATATTCGAAGTCGAACTAGGCATCTCATGAAAAAGTATATGGGTGAATCCATGGAGACCCGTCCATTTTTTGGAAAAGTTTTTTTTTTCGATTCTTTTTTGCAGTCGAAACTTCCGGTGAGCTGTAGAAAACACTTTGATGAAAAAAAAATATGACATTACTAGCAGAAAATATCGAGTTCTGGTTGATTTTTTTGGAACGATTATGGCATATTGTCAGGCAAAGGGGAAACGTCAGTAATATATGAAAGCTGTTTAGAAACACTTTACGTTAGATGGAAAAAATTAGAACATGCCTATTGGAAGTATTGAGTTATGAGTCATTTCTTCTGAAAATAACAATAACTGTCGTTTGTCATGCTGAGTGACACTAATTTATTTGAAGGATTTTCATTAGACTAGTGATAAAAATAATGATGGGTGTGGGTGTGTTGCTATTCTACCTGCTTCACCCACATCTACACCCGCCATGAACAGAGGAGTCTTGTCATGGCTTCATCTTCACTGGGGCTCTCATTATCGCTTAATTCCGTTGATGAACGAGTCATCATTTTCTTCCATTCAAATGCATGATATCTTGGGCATAACCAGCGTGTTAGGTCGTCAGCCGCATCATATCGAGTAATCAAAAACATCGATAGATGTGGCGATACATGCACGACTCCTTTGGGTACAGGAGTAAAGTTTGCACGTTTTGTCGGATGTTCACAATACTTTTGTTTGGGCACTGAGATAGGCTTTTGTAAAGCAATCAGAAAACGTACAGGCTAGTAATCGACCCTTTCCACCCATGTCGCCTCTTTTTTATCAACTGTGCCGCAGTTACGCGTAACTATGGCGCATTGATCGTAGTGAAGATTTCTATATGAAACTACGCTTAGTATGACTCAGATCAACGTAACTGCGTCCTAGTGATCGCATCCTACGATCTGTTGTATGTATAAATGATCAATTACAAATTATTCCTCCTTATTTGTAATTGGCTACACTCGAACAATAAAACTTAGTAATAGTAGTGTTTATCACATTTTCGTTCATAAGTCATTCTACTACAAGCAGTGAAATGCATA